GGTGCGAAGCCTTAATTGGCCGAAGAGGCACTCAATTACATTCCTGAGGTCCTGCCTAGGATGAAGTATATGCGTGACAATGTGCACCACGTGATCAGTGAGGTGGCTCCCTTGGAACAGCTGTGCATGCATTAGTCAGTCATCAGTGAATGCATTGCCATATTTGAGCTATTTTATGTGTCTATATAATTGCCCTATATTCCCACTTTATAATCTCATCATAATCTGACTTTGTCACGTCAAATTTGAAGTTGAAGAAACTAGCCTACAACACACACTCGTTTGTTAATTTCTGCACATATGAGTGAGTTCCATAGGTCTGTGTTTCAGAGTCAACATTGCGTTGAAGTGAATAGTATTTATTCTGGTTTGAATAAATCAACAGTAAACAATTCCCAAAACGTTATTAGACAAAAATGTGATGTCCCAGAGTATCTTTCCAAATCTGTAATATATGAGTTCATAGACTCAACGTTTCCCCACACATCTGAAAAGCACCAGACATTAAGTGTGGCAGTTCCCACTCTCCAGCGTTGAGATAATTGAGCGTCCACACAGGTATTACATGAAATCCTATCATGCCATCTAGTGGATAAATAACATACTGCATTGAATTCATGGAGCACACAGTAGTAACTCCTTCCTCATAGACATGTCTCTAATAAAGAACAAACATGCATTTCCCCTAAAACATAAAATACAAAGCAGATGTTAAAGGTTTTATTGACAGCTCATGTTAAAGTGAACAGATTTGAGTGGTAGTGTGAGAAAATGACAGTATCAATGTAAGAGTATGCATCACACAACTTCATACTGACAGACAATAGTAAAAATGAATGGCAAATCCAACACTGTTTCTTAACAAGCTTAGAACTAATTAGACTGTGTATCATAGTAGAAAACGTTTAAAGAAAGAATGAAAAAAATCCCACAGGAAATACTAATAATCAAGTTTGGAACCGGTAAATAACTCCATTGTATTTGTTGAAAGCTGGGAGCAACCAATTCAAATAAAGCTACTGTGTACATTTTATTTATTGTATTGCTATATTCTGAATGCCTCTGTCAAACATTTTGATCAAACAACAAGACTTAATTCATAAGCGTAATAAAAAACCAGAATTCAAAAAATATTAGTCAAACTAGTCAAGTGTAGGTTAATTATGGCTATGAAGGCCTTCAGTCGTGCATCTATTTGAATTCAATAATCTATTGTTCTAGGATATATGACTAATGTAATACTGATTGTGAAAATGTCTAATGAAATACATTAACATAATTAGACATAACATGAACCTATGATGCAAAGCAGAATGTACCTAACCATTTCCTAAAAAGCATCTAGATGAAAACGAAAACGTTTTAACCAGTGTAGGTCTAAGCCCTTAGATCGCAATATCTACTAAGCTAACATATGGAATTGTTTTAAAAGATGGTCATAAAATTGATCATTTAGCCATTTGATTTTGAATTTTAGGACCCCTGTAGGTATAAATACTGTATGTATGTATATATATATACTACCAGTCAGAAGTTTGGACACACCTACTCATTCAAGTGTTTTTCTTTATTTTTACAATTTTTTACATTGTAGAATAATAGTGAAGACATCAAAACTATGAAATAACACATATGGAATCATGTAGTAACCAAAACAGTGTTAAACAAATCAAAATATATTTTATATTTGAGATTCTTCAAATATCCACCCTTTGCCTTGATGACAGCTTTGCACACTCTTGGCATTCTCTCAACCAGATTCATGAGGTAGTCACCTGGACTGCATTTCAATTAACAGGTGTGCCTTCTTAAAAGTTAATTTGTGAAATGTATTTCCTTCTTAATGAGTTTGAGCCAATCAGTTGTGTTGTGACAAGGTATACAGAAGATAGCCCTATTTGGTAAAATACCAAGTCCATATTATGGCAAGAACAGCTCAAATAAGCAAATAGAAACAACAGTCCATCATTGCTTTAAGACATGAAGGTCAGTCAATACGGAACATGTCAAGAACTTTGAAAGTTTCTTCAAGTGCAGTTGCAAAAATCATCAAGCGCTATGATGAAACTGGCTCTCACGAGGACCGCCACAGGAATGGAAGACCCAGAGTTACCTCTGCTGCAGAGGATAAGTTCATTAGAGTTACCAGCCTCAGAAATTGCAGCCCAAATAAATGCTTCACAGAGTTCAAGTAACAGACACATCTCAACATCAACTGTTCAGAGGAGACTGTGTGAATAAGGCCTTCATGGTCGAATTGCTGCAAAGAAACCACTACTAAAGGACACCAATAAGAAGAAGAGACCTGCTTGGGCCAAGAAACACGAGCAATGGACATTAGACCGGTGGAAATTTGTCCTTTGGTCTGGAGTCCAAATTTGAGATTTTTGGTTCCAACCGCCATGTCTTTGTGAGACGCGGTGTGGGTGAACGGATGATCTCCGCATGTGTAGTTCCCACCGTAAAGCATGGATGAGGAGGTGTTATGGTGCTTTGCTGGTGACACTGTCTGTGATTTATTTAGAATTCAAGGCAGTTAACCAGCATGGCTACCACAGCATTCTGCAGCGATACGCCATCCCATCTGGTTTGGGCTTAGTGGGACTATCATTTGTTTTTCAACAGGACAATGACCCAACACACCTCCAGGCTGTGTAAGGGCTATTTTACCAAGAAGGAGAGTGATGGAGTACTGCATCAGATGACCTGGCCTCCACAATCCCCCGACCTCAACCCAGTCAGATGGCAGAGTGAAGGAAAAGCAGCCAACAAGTGCTCAGCATATGTGGGAACTCCTTCAACTGTTGGAAAAGCATTCCAGGTGAAGCTGGTTGAGAGAATGCCAAGAGTGTGCAAAGCTGTCATCAAGGCAAAGGGTGGCTATTTGAAGAATCTCAAATATAAAATATATAAAACACTTTTTTGGTTTCTACATGATTCCATATGTGTTATTTAATAGTTTTGATGTCTTCACTATTATTCTACAATGTAAAAAATACTAAAAACAAAGAAAAACCCTTGAATGATTAGGTGTGTCCAAACTTTTGACTGGTACTGTGTGTGTGTGTGTGTGTGTGTGTGTATGTGTATATATATATATATAGCCCATAAAAAAAAAACACATTGAATAACACATTTGTACATGGCAAAACACAGTCAAAGGGACTAAGGTTTTTAAGTGTTTGTCCTATCTCTTACATATAAAAAATAAAAATAAAAATAATTTGACCCATGTTTGGTCACTTTATTCGTGGAACTTTGGGCCATTTTTATAGGCCGGTCCTGGGTTACCTTCAGATGACTCTGCTGAAGCTTGTGTGCGTCAAAGAGCAAAACAAATGACACAGTCGTGTTGAAAATATTAAAGTCTCATATTTTGATGGGGGGTGACTTATTAGTCTGTAGCTCAAACGGTTCGGGTTTTACAGATGATTTCGTGACTATTTTCTTGTCTGGATCCTTTGTGTAGAAAGATACCACTTTCACAAGCCCCATATTATGGAATAGGCGCAAGCTTTATAAAATCGGCAGAAAGAGAGGATTGAGCTGCAGCCACTGCAAGAAACGGTAAGTCTCTAGCATAAACACATGGGGAGCTATTCAATATTTAAAATGACATCACCGTGATGCCTTGGTGTCATAATAAGTTGTTTGAACCATTGAGATATTCTTATTCTATTTCTGTTTTCCACGCCTCTCCTCAAGTCAAGTACAGTATGGCAGTCTGGATGTAGTTCAATGTGGGTGAGTAGTTTCCAAAGAGCTCTATGCTAGACTACAGGACTGAAATGCATCTTTGTCCACAAATGACCAGGTTAAGGGTTCAAATTGTCCACTTAAGACTAATTTGCAGGTGTACAGAAGGTCCAAGGAGATAGCAAACATAAAGGAGAGATTACACAAAGAATTCACCCCCAACTTAGTTTTCCGACAGATCAGCGGTAGAGAGTTGGTACGTTACAAAAGGAAGACATGACCGTCCATTTGGCCTGCACTGTGGTGCTTGTTATCAGTCTATTCTACTCCCTTTGGTGACTCCCACTGAAAACAGCACTGCTTCTCACAGCTCTCTTAGCATCCACTGTCACATGTTTAGAGAGTCTACACGGGGTCTATACTTTCAAGTTAACCCCACTATCAAAGATACGACTCGGACAGCCACAGAATACAGGAACCATTTCCTCAAGATGAAATTAGATTAATTGATAAAGATTCAACTAGAGCCCACAACACTACCGGTACACATTACAGTCTACTCTGAAGAAAGTCAGAAAGCATTTTTTACGATACAGAAAGAAGTGGCTTGCCTTCCAATTACGTTTGAAAGCTGTGAGACCTTCCTCATCTGCCAGATCGTGACCCAGTCTCCAATCTCCAGTCTCAGTCTGTCACTGAGTTTGTTCTCAGCGAGTACATCTGCTACCTCATGGACCTGTCTGTGCTCAGCACATAGCGTTTGAGTGACCACACACTGTACCAGTAAATGCACTTCAAACCAGCCAACACCCCATTCCAGAGAGGTTAACTAACACATTCACACCTTGCTGCTGGAAGCTGAACTGAGTAGACAGAACAATAATATGCCTTTCTCCCTGTCCGTCTGCACTCCCTCTCAATAAAACAACTCTAACAAAAACTGCGAATAACCAACGGCATAGGGGTCAGGCCAACGCTTTTCTACTATAAAACGTTAAGTTCACCTATGACATTTATTGTCATCAAAGGCCCTTTCACCCACGTCTTGTAGAGACACAACAGACCTATACTGAGTACCTTAAAAACACAGTAGTTCAGTTTAACTTGAAATCCTCAAAACACTTCAAACACTAAAAGTCAGAGTTAGTAAGAAAATAGTCTTTAAAATGGCCTTTCCTCTCCGTTACAAACTTAAAAGCCAGAGTTAGTGAGAAATAGTATTTGAATCACACTTCCTCTCCTTTACAAGCATAGAAAAAGAAACACATAACTCCACAAAACAGGTTCACAGTCCTTGGCCCCGTTTAGCTCTCATGAGGTTTCTCTTCCCGCTCCCCACTGGGGCCATTGGGTGGTGGCTTATTGCTGAAGTTCCAGTCGACAGGGTTGAAGAGCTGCATGGTCTTCTTGTGTGTCCAGATGGGGTTTATGAGCACTGTGAGCAGGGCCAGGCCGGTGCAGAAGAGGATGCGCTGGGGCAGGGCCACGTACATGTTCATCTCCCCCCAGTGGCTCCAGCTCACCCACCACATGTAGTAGGTAAGCACCATGCGGCAGTGGAACATGTGGATCATCACCCACTGGTTGGCCTTCCAGAAGAGGGTCCTTGCCCAGCCAGCCTGGATGGCAGAGAAGAGAGGGATATTTAGAGAAGGAAATGTACTGATTGGACAGAGGATAAAGACTGTCACAGTGTTTGGGGATATCTAAAACAATGTATGGATTGCATATAACATCTTGGTACATAAAACAAAAGTGATGTGAAATCTCATGACTTGGTTCCATTTCTGCTTAGAAGTTCCCATTTCTCAGAATGGCCATCTGTTCATTTATCACTGTTGCATTTCATATCAATGTGCTGGTCTCAGTGTTGAGTATGTAAACAGAAAAGAGGAACTGAAATCTATCTGTGCTTTCTATTTCTAGCCCACCAGTAAAACAACTGAACTATAAAAAAAGGAATAAGCTTACAGTACAGCATCACAAATGGAGTCAATCAACAACTACAAAACAACAACATACTGTATAGAGATATGATGAAAGGCACCAGACAAACACTCCTCTACCTTTAGTAACATCCAGGAGATGCAGGTGAAAGGCGTGCTCATCTCCAGCAGCAGAATGACCATGGGCAGGTAATGTCCTAGTGAGTCCCAGACCACGGCCCCAGCGAACCCCGACAGGGCAAAGAAATGGTGGGTAGCCAGGGCGAGGTCGAAGGACCTGAACACCACACTGGTGAGATGCAGTGCCACATTCTCAAACAGGAAGAAGCCCGTGGCGGTGAGCACGGTGAACCACGACCAGTCCTCCTGACCTCTTATCCTGTCCCTTGACACGGCCGAGTCCTCGGTTAGCGCCCGTAAGCCCACCATCGTGCTCTGGAGGCCGAACACAGCCCGTGTGACTGCCAGATTCCAGAACACCTTCTCCTTGACCAGCAGAGAGTGGTAGGTCTGGGAGAGGGCCGTGGACACCAGCTGGGAGAGGAGGAAGATGGCAGTGTAGAAGGCAAAGCCCAGGCCGATGATCTGGAGGCGAAGGCCCCAGGAGAAGTAGTCCAGACTGGGGTCAGCGGGGTCCTTGAATGACAGCAAAGGGCTGGCCTGCTGGGAGGTCATGTTGATTTGTGTGGGTGGGATGGTGGATGATGTCTGTTGCTCTTACATCCGTGGAGTTCTCACAGAGTTGAGTAACCAGTAATCACTGAAGTGTCCCATGGGTTAGTTATCAACCACCCTGCAAAATAAATTAAAGCCAACACACATTGGTCAATGTTTATAAAATAGTTATGACATGTCAAAATGTGCTAGATGACCCATAGACCTTTGAACAGTACTTTCTATACCTAATATAAAACATGATCAGTTATTGACCCAATATAAGGTGATGTTGGTATGTTAACTTCTGGCTATGTTTGAAAGATTTCACATCTTTCGTTTGACAGACGATAACATAAGATATCAGGCGCCTGTTGATCTGAGGCAATCAGTCTGACCATGTGTCAATTGAACTTCCTTCTTATTAATGCAACAACATAGTCTGATTAATCAGGCTGTAATACACAATTAATTGGTATATACAGCCTGAAAATAATGCATGCAAAATTGTGTAAATGTTCCTTACAAGCCAGAATGTTTAATACAATTACATTTAAACTTACTCTACCGGTTGTCTGTGCGGTTTTACTTCAGCTGCTGGAAATGTGAGACAAAATATCTACAGGAAAGTATTGTTAACCCAACTTCTTAGAGAGCCAGTAGGTGTATGGTTCTGTACCAAGTAAAATTCGTTTTATATTGGATATTCGGTTCTCTCTCCTCAAAAGCTATTGAACCAAGCATGCCATGATAATGAAAATGGTATACTGTATTCACAATCAGAGGAGGATGAGCACAGACAACCGGTAGAGTATGTTCAAATGTAATTTTATTCAACATTCTGGCTTGTAAGGAACATTAACACGATTCTGCAGGCATTAGTATCCGGCTGTCCCAATTAATTGTTTATTACAACCTGATTAATCAGACTAGCAACAACTTAGCTCAATCAGTTCGATAAATTGTTACAGAGTAAAGAAAAACAGAGGCCACTTTACTAAAATCTGTAACATTGTTAATGTTTTTGACTAAAAAAAATTCACTCTGGCACAATTGCGATTAGACTGGTCTCATAGACTAGACAGACATAAATTAGTATGACATGTTACGTTTGATATGGTTACATAAGATAGGTTACTTAAAGCAAAAACCCAGCTAGCAATGAGGAACCGGCCCAGAAGCGGCCTTCATCCAGGGGGCCGGAACTGATTGAATTGGCCTGGAATCGGGTGTCGGACTCGGCCCGGAATCAAAATGAATAACTGCCCAGAATCGGCCCAAGTACATCGGGCCGTTTCCGTCTACCGGAATTCAGCCGACTTTGCCGGCATCTTACCAGAATCCCCCCAGAGCGGGCCGATGCAAATTTAAATAAATGTATACAGAATTACCCGATGTACATTTTACATACAAATTATACCCATCCACAAAGTTAAATGTTTTACCTCCTTTTCGTCATACAGTCTTGTCCCATCGCTGCAACTCCTGTACGGCCTCGGGAAAGGCAAAGGCAGGCTGCGACACAGACGGGTACCGAACCAGCAACTACAGCAACGCAGTTTGCACTGCGATGCAGCTTCTTAGACCGCTGCGCCACTCGGGAGACCCCATCCGCTAGGTTTTTAATGCTGATCAATTGCCTTGCACAAAGTACTAAAATACTACTTAAACATGAAAGACTCTTAAAGAATTTAATTGTAATGTTTCTTTTATTTTTTGATCACAGAAACAATGAGAAAATATGGGAAAATGATATAATGTTAATTATATAATGCAGCCCATGTATTGCCAGAGAGTAGCCACAATCGGCCCGAGCCCTAAGTAATACATTTGGACCAGATAACTCACACTGGAATTGGCCCGAGTCTCAGCCGAGTGCCCTGACTCTCAGCCTGAATTGGCCCAGATCCACTGTGTTAGCTGGGAATGAAAGGAGGGGGTTGGTCGGGCGTATAAGACGTCTAACAACCCAAAGGGTGGTTGGTCGGGGTGGATGGGAACGTCTCGCAACCCAAAGGTGTTGTGTGTTTGAATCTAATCACAGACAACTTTTGCATTTTAGCAACTTTTCAACTACTTAGTATGTTATCTAACCCTTCCCTAACCCTTTTACCTACCTAACTCATAACCCCTAGAGCTAGCTAACGTTAGCCATAACAAATTGGAATTCATAACATATCAACTAAATGGTGTTTCTCGCATTGACGTACAGAATCATACGAAATGCTCTGAGACCACGTTGTTACGATACTTCAGTTGCAACATTGTTGCAGGTTATATTCTCAAATTTAACAGAACATAATGTATCGTTCCTGAAACAAAACAAATTGCTTTGGCTAATAAGCCAACAGTATATGCCGAGTCATCGCCATTGTAGCAAAACGTCATCTTTTGCCTTACAAATCTTAATAACTTACCTTATTCGTCCATTATAGGCAAACAGAGTTGGTCTGTGAATTCAGCAGCGGGTTAGTTATCATATGAATCCAATTTGGCCATAAGACAAGAAAATAGGAAATCCCTCCCTGTGATAGTTTAATCTCATCTGTATGTCTTGAGGCTCTTTTTAGTGATTAATTAGGTATTGTCCTGTCTATATGCAGTATAATAGGCAGCAGAATAATATCACATAGTTCCGTCATTATTTAATTACACTACACGCAGTACCTACTAGTTTAAATGGAGGGAGGAAAGGCAAATGACGAGACACCACCCAGTCCCTCAAACTTTTAAATGTTTTTCATCAAAAAATTTAATTGCAGAAGTATTTACATCAGATGATATCAGCAATGATTAAACTACTTTTAAGAGGCAAAATCTTTAAAGAGTTAATTTGAAACATTTTGTAAAATACAGAAATACAGTGGTGATGTGTTTACAACAGAGATTTAAAAAAAAAATACAGTGAGAAAATCAGTAAACATTATAATATATAAAACATATATAAATGCATCTTTGATAAACAGATGAATAAATAAATATATAAATGTAACAGTGTCAATACTGTTAACTAAAAGACAATGAATAAACAAATTATACATTCAGTATCAGTATTTTGCATGCCATCATCACAGCTTATCAAAATAACCAGAACAAAGGAACAAATTGATAACAAAACATGAATAAAAGCAGAAAATAGTTGTTTCAATGAGGCATATATTATATATTAATATATTTATATATATTTATTTACAAATAATGAATATTTGGCATTATATTCATCCTCACTATAGATATATGATATACAAGAGATGAAAATAGTTTTAGCTAAACAACTACCTTTTTAATTTGTCTAGTAATTTAAGTCATTTCACATTCTGAGATCAGGGGAAGTGGTGTATAAGCCTATCTTGATGGTTCTCTACAATGTCAATATATTCAAGAAAAAGTCCTGTCAAAAGATTTCATAAATACTAAAAGCAGATAGACAAACAAATATGTAGTGTGGCCATCGATGAAGAGGAACTGTCCTGGACCCCAATCAATCATTTTTGGGAGAAACAGGGACATGTGATTGTTGCAAATGGTACGACTGAACAATAGACGTCACAGCGTGTGATTGAAGAGTGGCGAACTACAGAAGTAGGGAGTTCTACATTTGCCTAATCAAAGAACATAGCACTTATTTTTCTGCTGCCTTCACTAGAATGAAGCTAAACTAAATCCTATTTTTATCTGTGGTATCAGTTTCAGTCGGTTTTATGTGAAGCCAAAATGAAGACGATAAAACAAAATAAAAAGTAAAACAAACTACATCTACCAGAGACTTTGTTTTCCAGAAAGTTCATGCCCAATTAGTTGGCCTTTTATATGCAGCACAAAACACCTTCAACCACACAAGCTGACACAATGTCCCATAGACATTACAGCCCTGGAGAACACATGGTAGCATTGTTTGCCTGGTTTTAACTGACAGACTGGAACCGTCTGGTGTCTGTATATTCTGCAAGAGTTACTATCATGACAGATTTGGACATACAGAAACAATATGTGGGCATGGAAAAGAGATGGGGTAACAAATCAAGTGGAAACAATATTAGAAATCCCATGTCATTTTTTTTTTTTACACATAAAAAAGAAGTTGCGCGTCATCTAAAGGACTGAAATGGCAATGTGAGTCGTACTTACAAGCGAAGAGGCAGATAAACAGAAATACAACCCATTGATGACAGTTTTGTAATGGTGGGCTGGGCTCAGAAAGGGCAGCATACCCTGAAAGTATCTATTTTACCAACAGTGGAGAACCGATGGTTGTCTGTGGCAGGATAGATACTTTTTTTATGGCACAATTTGTTATTCTATAAATGGCACTGGTATGTATAAAATGGAACACTATAATGAGTAATTCAAATGCAGAGTACAGAATTGCTCTCATAAATGGTATGGTAGTAAAAAAAAAATAGCAGCCTGCTTTTCAATACTGAACATCCACTATAACTCCTCCGATCCTCCTTGTAAAATTGTGTATTCCACTTTTTAATTTCCCCTCGACCTTTCAAATATTCATCACACAGACATAAAAGCATTGAAAAAAAGCTAAGCTATGCATGAATATGCTACTAAAGCCATGGTGGATATATTGAATCTGAGCTTTCAATCAGAGTTGCTGGCTCTCTACCTGGGCTACTTGCCATTCCTTAGGCCATCATGTCACCATTCATAATGCTGCTATGAGCATTGAGGGTTATCTGGATGGAATCCAATTGGAAATGGTACTGTAGAGGAGAAAATATGTCTGAAATATGAGCCAAAGTAGTGGACAGCTATCTCATTAAGGCAAACAATAGAGGAAGAGAAGGGAATTTAAAATATTTGGCACACACATAGAAGCAAACACACACCCTTGCTCGCACGCACACACGCAAGCACACCAACCCTGACGAATTTGCATATAAGTACACACACACACATGCACGTGCATGCAGGCGCGCACACACACACACACACACACACACACACACACACACACACACACACACACACACACACACACACACACACACACACACACACACACCTGTCATTTCAATGACACACAGTAAAAGAAGCAGAGAGAATGTCAGAGTGTATCCTTCAGGGATGCCAGGGCTGATATGGAGCCAAACTAGATCTATGTAACCCACATAGTGCTGTGATCACCATGTACTTTACCCTGTTATCCTCAACAGTAGAGGCAGTACAGTCCAACCATCAGCACTTTTGCTTTCAAGGGCCTTTGAGGCTGTCTGGTAGATCTTTCCAAGGACCTTTAAGGGATGACACTTAAGTAAGCCCCCTGTCTGTAACCAGCACACTGGGGTATACGAGAAAACCCCATCACAACCTCCATCACAGCTACCATCTCCATCCACCTACAGAACTACCTCGCAGCATGGAACAACACCAGTTACACCTCAAAGCAGAGATCCCAGCCTCCACTAAGTCAGCATGTGTCAGTGTGAGTCTTTCTCTGCCACTGCTGCAGGTCTGTCTCCGTACAACTGTAGGAAGTAGGAACAGCAGGGGAACATCGCTAACCTGCCAACACAGATCCTGGCTTCCTGCGCGACAGATAATGGTGCACTACAGCTACAGCACTCTGTCATTTTGGCTAGGTGGGTTCCCTCCCTCCAACAAAATTACATCACATCACTGAGATAGATGTATGTAGACAGCAGCCAGATCTTCACTCCCCAGGGAAGGGAATGTTTCTACACTCACACTCGCTTCATCTACACTAACTAGTCATGATACAAAATGAAGCCATGGAAGACATAAATAACTGAATAAAATATGAGGTAAATATAAAATGATCAAAAGAAAAAACATTTTCTGTATCCTGCAACCAACTGTGATATAAAAAAAAAAAAATGCTGCAAAACATTTCAAAATGTCCTCTAAAATGTGTCTTGTTTATGTTGTTTCCAAACATCTATAATTGAACTGACCCCCAGGACAAGGCTATCAAAACATTATCTTCTAGTAATGTAAGGATGACATACAGATGACAGGGTGTGTGTGTCAGAGTCCCTGCTGAGCCACATTGTGACTTTTGGGCCACTGAGGAGGTGACGGTGGGGTCATGTCTCTGTGGCGTGATAGGCGAGTGGACTAGGAAGCACGGTGACCTTCCAGTCACCCTGTTTCTGAAGCTGTCAACAAAGTGCCACAACAAGACTGTTCCTCCAACACAAACAGGACACAAAGTGACTCCAGAATGCTGAAAGGTACAGTACTCTGACTGCAATATGACAAGTCTCTCTCTCTCTGCACCAGTTACAATAGAAGCCAGCCGTAGGCAGCCTACTAGCAAAAATAAACAATCATAATTTTCTCAGTCCCAAAAATAGTTATTTTAGAGCCGTATCAATTAGCTGAGAGTGCTACGGTAAGTGTTGCATTGATTGTTGACCCAGTACTGGATCGATTGAGCAAAAAGTAGCACCAGTGACTTGGTTCATTATCCCAAAATATAACCTATAAAATCAATTCCAGTGTATTAGTAAAACAGCCTAAAATAGACACCAGTCTGCAGCAGAATCAGCCTGTCCTGATGTCTGCGGTCTTAGAAACATTAGATAACTCTGCGTCAATAGGATTGGCAATATTGACACAGACTAGCCTCATGGCTATCAGTGTAATATGACCTTTTAACATATCCTACAGCAGCAGAGGGGTTTTCAAGGTTTGTCAAGTATGTGATAGCCTGTCATCACGAGGAGTAATCAAGTTTCTAGACTCCACTACAGTGCACAGTATTAGACAGATTCAGCAGAGAAGAATTTACATAAGTGCCCCTCAAATCAACACATCTCATCCCTCACCCCAACAACTCTAGTCCCAGGCCTTTTCAGGCCTCCTCTAGCCTCTTATGGGAACTGATCCAAACCCTGGTCACTACCATTCATTATGTTACTGTGACCCAGGCACTATACAGTCCCCTCCACTTCTACATCACAGTAGGCCCCTGGAGTGCATGTCTGAGCTGTGTGAGGAAAAATAACCCCTGCAGTACCATCAATCTCTCCAACGTCACATTTTTCATGTCTTTGTTATCAGCCAAAAAAAAAGCTTCAAATTCTGGAGAGGTTTCTTCCCTCACATCTCTTCCCTCTGGGACTGTTTCACATTATTACCTTGTAGCGGTTCCTAGAAAAGGTAAAAATACTTTTCACACACTGCACTTGTCTGGTAGGTAATCAACAATATAAATGTTTTCCAAGATTGTGCAAGCTGTGTTCTAATCAATGAAACAATTTAACTTATGTGTGTTGTTTGAACAGACACTGTTATTCCTGGGTTGGCAGCAAGGCTAGGAGAAGGGCTAGATGTTTGAAGAAATGACAGCACTATTTTGATACTACACGATATGTAGGAAGGCATGGAGAGATGAGGTGAAAAATCAACCATGTGATTAAGAATATTAATTTCCTCTCTTGCAATTCAAATACAACAATACTGTTGTGAACTTTGTTTGTACATTTCCCTTGGAAATACAGAGAATTATAAGTGCAAAAGCGCATTATTTTACGTATATTTGAACTAAAGAGCAACGCAAACCTTCCATAGCATTTTTTCCACAGCAATGAAATAATGTAAAGTATTTTTCAGAGAAAAAAAAGTATTGCATGTTGTCTGCTTCAAGTAAATGTCATTACATGTGAAATGTCAATATTATAGGAAACTGTAGGGTATAGTGTGGAAGGGAGAAAAGTAATGAGCATGATTTAGACATTTTTAAATCACATTTTCTACCATGAGGCTTGACCCCTTGACCTTTACCTGACTAGGTAGAAAGCTGCATTTTCCAACTTTTCCAACTTTAACAAAACCAGAGCTTACTGTGAGTGCATAAAACAGACATTTCAGAAGGGATGACCTACCTGCCTCTTGGTCAGAAGCTACAGTGCGGCATGCACAGTTGAGGTATTTCAAGCATTGTCACTTTCAAATAGTTTCACTTGAATCATTTTGTGATTGTTAGCTTGTGAACACAATTGGAAACAACAGTAGGATAATTGTAGGGTTTTCCACCAAGAGTTGGACTCATCATGGGGTCATGAATTCGTAACTGGGTTTTTATTCTCTCTGGTTGGTGGTAGGTTTCAAAGCTACACTTTTTAATTGCACTTTGCAAATGTTGAAAAATACAGACATACCCTTCCAGGATAATTTAAATGAGAGCTTTTGGAGTTGGCTATTCTATCATGTAACACTATTCCATTAACAAAAACCTTTTTCATGGGAAAACCAAGGAGAAGATGAACCAATTCTTAGATATACACTGAGTATACAAAACATGTACTTTCTATGACGTAGACTGACCAGGTGAATCCAGGTAAAAGCTATGAGCTGTTATTGATATCACTTGTTAAATCTACTTTAAATCAGTGTAGATGAAGGGGGGAGACAGGTTAAAGAAGGATTTCTAAGCCTTGAGACAATTGAGACATGGATTGTGTATGTGTGCCATTCTGAGGGTGAATGGGCAAGACAAAACATTTAAGTGCCTTTGAACGGGGTATGGTAGTAAGTGCCAGGCGCACAGGTTTGTGTCAAGAACTGCAACGCTGCTGGGTTTTTCACGCTCAACAGCTTCCTGTGTGTATCAAAAATGTTCCACCACCCAAAGGGCATCCAGCCAACTGTGAGAAGCATTGGCGTCAACATGGGCCAGCATCCCTGTGGAACACTTTCGACACCTTGTAGAGGCCATGCCCCGACGAATTGAGACTGTTCTGAGGACAAAAGCGGGGGGAGGGGGGGATGTTTGTTCCTGATGTTTGGTATACACAGTGTATATCCACTAATACATATGTGTTAATGGAAGAGGACTTTTGTGATATCCTACTCAGTGAGGGCTGAGGTGGAGATGAACTCAGAAGATTATGACAGTGAAGTCATGAGGAGACAGATAAAGGAGGGAAGTGTACATTAGATAGTCTAGAAAAAGGCTAGTTAAAGGAGAGTCTAGTTGACGGGTAAGTCTGAGGGGGGAGACGCCCCTCACCCCTGACCCCTGTCCCAGTCCTCTCAAAGGCGAGTCTGAGCCTCAGGGATATAAATCTCGATGCTGTCTGCTCTCTCTGACACCGAGTTCTGACGGAAGGAAGCCGCCCGCTTGGCCTGCATCAGCCTCCTGCGTGCTTCCAGGCGGTGGCGGTCTGGAAGGTCAAGAGACTTCTCCCGTGTCACGCCTCTCTTCCCGATCATGGACTTCTTTGGTACGACAGGTGGTAACTGGACACAGGAAGAAAGAGATGAACTAGACCAAAATCTGATCCGTATCGAAAACTATTCTATAATTCAACTTGTATTGCCAGTAGTTGACATATCATCCATTTGAGAGGTTGGAAATAAATCGTCATAGTTAACCACAATGTCAATGACACCCAGTGGTGCTTCACTAAGCATTTGACCTCACATACAGAACAGCACCACTCCACACCACTACTACGTGGCTCTGAGTCATCTCACATCTCTGTTTAATAAGGCTCTGACTGTGCTATATGTAGCTGAATCTGTCCATAGAAATATAATGATTCTGTCTCACCTGTCACTGAGACTACCCACCATGGACAACAGAACAATTCTAGATTGTATTCTGTATACCTTAGTGCTAGCCACCTTTTTCTCTGGGCTCTTCTCCACGGGCCTCCACTCGTTGTTCTTCATCTGCTGCAGCTCGTCAAACTTGGTGGTGACGTCATCAATGGACAGCTGCAGGAGGTCCCAGAATCCAGCCAGGTCCTGAGAGGTGGGGCGGGGCATGGCACTGGGGTCCTGCAAGGGGTGATAAAGGACCACATCAGTGTCTGAATTACAGATACTCAAATCCCAGTGTACATAAGGAGTTTTTGTTGCACTTCTACCAAAGCCCACTAGATGTCCTTATTAGAACTCAAACAGAGGAAAACCTCAATGATTTATGGTATTTTTTCTAATAATAAAACAAATGTTTCCAGCAAAGTCATGGGAGCAGGAAGGTCAAACTTCAGAAAAGACAATAACTGTATTCCCATCGTCATCTCATGGTTAGACTATAGGACTTGGAGGACAATCCATTGAAATGAGCCATAACAAAATGTGATCAGTAAGTAGCAATCCCTCCTAATCCCCCTGAGGATGGGGAAAAAATGAAGAGGGCTCACATTTCATTCACTGCCAGTAAGTCTTATTCATCACATCACATCGGCTAGAGTCACAATCAGTCACACTATTGAACCCACAGACAATACTAGTGAGACTATAGCCTAAATCAATATCTCCAACTCTGTTATGAAGTTAATCCATAGAGAAATAAGATCCACAGCATCCCATTGGACGCAGGTCACCATCTCCCCCCATTAATTCAGTGACTTTATGTGCTTCATATATTGGATGGCTGGAGGGCACAACAATATCACAGCCGACTGTCTGGTGGCATTTCAGACTGCTGCATTCTGGATGTAGATCGAAATATATAGGCTCTGAAGTAAAGGCCAGGGTCACTCTGAATTACAATGAATAGATTAACTATAGTGGAAAGTCTCGGAAATGAAAAATAGTAAGCAGTACTTACTCAGTGTTAAGAACTGCATTTGCTGTATATGGTTAAAGGGTAACTGCACAAGTTAAAAACGCAATAGTTTAGGCCACTGCCACTATAAAGTGATGCTAAGAGTAGAAGCACTGAGGCACTATTCTGAAAGCACAGCACCAGATCAAGCCTGCTGGGTGACTCATAGCAGTGTGGAGAGGCTGTGACAGGCTGAGATCTCACCCGGTCACAGATCTACCTCATTCATCGCCTCGGTCTGAAACTTCACAGGGGAGATACACAGAGACCCAGAGGAGAAGTAGTGGAAGACACCGCGGGGCTCATCTCATCAACATGGACGGGGGTTCAAAAAGAAGGCTGTACACAAGCCAGCGTAAGCAAACAAATAACAAAAACATAAACGTATACTGGGTGAGTGAATGAGGCTGACACATTAAAGGATTCTGGGAAATATAAGCCTTGCCTGTGTCAGTATGCCTTAATCCTGTAGCTCCTCCCACAATAAAACTTGCGCTACACTCTGCGCCTGTCTTTGAAAGCTTGTTTAACTCCGGCTTACGTTATCCAGGAGGAAAAAGGGTGGGGGAAGACGGCTCGATAAAGCGCAATTAGACATCTCCTTAAGCCTCTTATTTGCAGACGCCACTTCTTCAAATGGACTTAAATCCATGTTCTGAAAGTGTATGCAGTATTATTTGTAAACTGTCTTTGTCATATGGAGAGATGCAGCAGCTTGCGTAAGCTTTTATAACTGCTGTCCTCTCCCCTACAGTGAGGGAAATAGAAGCAGGAAAACTCTATATTAAAGACTAGTTTAAACTAAATAATCCCCATGCACATTTCAGCCTTTTCTGAATGCAGCAATTTCTGCTGTATATGGCAAAAAATAGCAACATGTTTTCATAACCAAAGACAGGCTTAATCTCAAATATTGGATATTTGGCTGATATCAATAAAGAGGGGTAAGATTAGAGGTAGGAAAGTATCAGCCAGATATTCCAGCCCTTCCAAGTGTTTTTTGATAGGATGAAGAGAGTGGACTGCGGCAATAGTTCTGAATTTAAAGTGGGCATCTTAGTGTTCTAGTCAGAGCTGTGAGTGCATCATTGGGAACATTCACAGTCTCTCATTGTTCTCCTCAAGATGTTCTCATTTCAGATAGAATTTCTTATTTTGTATTTCTTTCACACTCAATGGCGCATTTAAAAGCTTCTGACCTGTTGGGCTAAGCCATTCTATGTAAGACAGGAGAACAGTGCTGGTGGATACAGGAATGCAGCCGATATAACTGTATCCTTTCCTTTCACGGGCCCGAGTAGCGCAATAGTTTTTTAAACACACACGCACAAACACTCCCACACACTGTATGTACACAGACACACACAGGGTCATTGTTTCAGTGACGTGTTACTCACCAGGTTCTGCTGACACAGCCAGTAAAACTGCTGGAATTTCTGAGACATGAGGAGCTGAGCACTGCCCACCGCACTCCTGATTTTACCTAGGACTGAAAGACAGACAGTCAACTCATCATCTGTTACATGAAAGTCTTGAGTCTCTTTGGAAGAAAATGTCTGCCAGTTGACTGTACATTCTGACTCCTATCCCACTCACTGTCCTCAAAGAGGTCGTTCTCCTCCGCCTCTGCCTCCATGTCTTTACACCATCCCTCCATCCTCTTGGTCTCTGTGTGGAGCAGTTGCATGAACCAGCTTCCATCCCTCCGCAAGGCGGGGGACGTCCGGCCCGACTCGCCCGACGACTCTGCTGGCTCCCTGGGGGAGGGGGGCTCTAGCTGCCAGGTGGTCTCGCTGGAGGTCTGCTGGGTGCTGGGGGGCTCCGTGGGGGTCCGGTAGTCCTCCCGGTAGCTGAAGAGGCCCTGGGTGCGGACGGTGCGCACCCCATACTGGGTGGGCGTGCTGGGCTCAGAGTGCCCCCCTAGGAAGCCCCCTCCAAATTGTAGGCCCTTGTCCTCCATGGTGGGAAGCCCCTCCATCTCCATGTCAGCTTGCACGGAGGCTGTTACACTATTGGAGCGCTTCAACCTACCCTGGCCTCTGAGACACAGATTAGGGAAAGCAAACATTTAGACCATTACATTTACATTTTAGTCATTTAGCATCAAGGGATACTGTAAACAAACACACACATAGAGAAAGAGGAAAGGTTGGGGTCTTTAATAACACACTGTTGATGAGCACAAATCCAGAAATGGGAAAAGGAATCTATAAAAAAAGAACACCAAGAGTAATTTTACCGTTTGTCATCTTCCACTTGGATCCCCACAGAATGGTATTCCTTCGACCCTTTGCTTTCTGACTCCGAGTCGGTGGCTGCTTCCACCTAATGCAACATAATAACATAGCAACAGCATTCTCATTATTACCACTCCCAGATGTCTGTGGGGTTATTGGTTTGGGGCCAGTGCTGCGCCTCCTCAACTGTAAGAGGCCTGTCAGAACATAACCGCAGTGTGATTTATGGAGGCAGAGAACCCAACCAAACACAACTAGTTCTTCAACACCCTCAGCACAGTGATTTATACCAACAACAAGCAGCCGTGATGGATATACACAGTGGTGGTAGTTTAAAAAAATGAAACAAATTACAACACCTGATTAGGGAGTGGCGAGGTGTGATCACCTGGGGTGGTGTGTGATACAGACACACAGATCTTTGTTAGTGTTCATTGGTGCATGGTGCCAGAGATGATAGAGACTGATCCCTGTTTGTCCTGAGGGTTGCTGATCCTGATCGAATGTCCCCAGCAGCACAGATCCTTTTAATGTTATGGGACTATTTTGCTTCCACTGGTCCTGGGGCCCTTGTTAAGGTCAACAGCATCATTAACTTTACCAAGTCCCAGAACATTTTAGCCAAAATCCTGGTTGCCTCTGCCAGGAGGCTGACACTTGGCCGCAAGTGGATCTTCCAGCAAGACAATAACCCCAATTGAGCAATTGCATTTGTATAAAATAATATAATTTCCCAATTTTTTGGAGGATAAAATATAGCTCAGCATTTGTATTATATATTTTATAGTCTTTTTTTAATCATCTTTATCAAAGGGTGCCAATCATTTGGACCTGACTGTATTTCACACAAAAACCATGCATCCTGTGTGACTGGCCCTTTATTAGAAGTATTGTCAACAAAAGTTTTATCCTGACGTTGCAGATAGCCTACAGTCTGCATGGACTAGTTATATTTGGGAGGTAGTTGTGTGTGGTAGCTAGAATTAGTCCTTGAGATGCCCACTCCCAGGCTGTCTCTCTGATGAGTAATACAAGTGTGAAAACAGCAGACTTCTAATTTTACAATTTACTATTTGATTAGCAGGGTAATTTGAAAATCAATTCATCCACATTTTAATCCTCCTTCCCTCTGAGAGATCACACCTTCCCCCAGTTCTGAGTTAATGGGCTGACCCTGACATAGTGTTCCAGCCGACGCAGGCAGAATCCTGACTAGGGCCAGCTTGGAACGCCTGTCTGTCTGAGAGCCTTATGCCTTAAAAGCTCCAAATTCACATTAATAACTCTTTAGCTTTAAGTGGTTTGCAACGAACGGAGGAGTGTGTGTTCATGTCTAGCAGGCACAGATATATCCCTAGGGCTGCTGGAGCACCTGCCATTTAGCCCTCCTATGAACATTTCTTTTTATTAAATGTTTTGTCTATTTTCTCTATTGCAACTATAAATGCAACAAATTGCCTATCAAACTACATCATTTCTCATGAACTCATTAATCTTGAAAAAAAGTCCACTCCCCCGTCCTTCTGCCACCACGAGCGTGGCAGTGCCTTGCTGCACTCATCCTTGTCACGTGCTTCCCACACCCACCAGGCAGTGAGTTCGAAATAAATACCGCAAGTAGGTATGCTTTAGAATTGCTATCATGTGTTGTCTCACAGACAGGGACAGGGAAGGAATCAACAGCAGTTCGCATCTGTCAATAGCAGAACAAATTCAAATCAAGTAAAGACTAGTTAGCTTGTTTTGACAGCATAGCCTAGTTAACTAGCTGATGAATCTAGCGTACACTAGCGACGATCAGCTGATATAGCCCACCCCAGTAGTGGTTTGAGCAAAGAAGTAGTTATTCTTCTAACTCCCTTTCATCTGTGGTAAAATGTCAAGTCTGTTACATTGCAGAGCCTGGTACAAACAGCACAATAAGTGACAGTGCTCTGAACCCCCCTTTTCTTTCCCAGAAAGAAAGTCAGCGGTGAGTTGCTGCTGGTTGAGGTGACGTCTGTTACTTTCTGGCACAAAGCAAAGTCCACTTCAGAGAGACAGAATGGGCTGTTGCTTTATGGTGGATGAGGAGGGGAGAGATTTAGGAGAGCCTGGGCAATGTTCAAAGTGTGCTGGCAGAGACAGAAGAAAAAAAAAAGCAACACCTGGTTTGGTGAACACACACACACACCACGCTACACACACACACACACACACACACACACACACACACACACACACACACACACACACACACACACACACACACACACACACACACACACACACACACACTATGCTACACAGACATATACTACACACACAGCACAGGTGTGAAAACTGTAGGCATCAGCATTTTACTCAGACATGGCTTAGTCTCATTGAGATGAAGGTAGGTAGTGAGGTAGGTAGGTAGTGAGAGTAAGGTCCTGCTACAGGATCCATTCTTACGCTGTCCTAATATGGACACTGTACACTTTAATGGCCCCCAGAACATGAGGGGTCAAAACTCAAACACTGTGCAAAAAGGGTCAAAGGCTAAGGATTAAGATTGTGGTCCTGCCGGAAGTAAGGGGTGAAAGGTCAAACTTTTGGGCCAATCAATAAGGCTACACTTCCAGAGGATAATTATACTGTACGGTATGTCCCCAGGAGGTCTGTGATGATGCAGGTGAATGTAGATTGATCTTACTACACTGGCCAAATACTAGTGGCACAGTTTAAAGATAAACTTTGTAGGAGGTTTTGGTGCATTTTTTGCGCTGCATGTGGCCCTTATGGTATGTTTCAGTAACTGTAGACCTTCACACTGCCAGCCATCACTAATCAAAAGTGCTTCTATATTTTACACACATCACTGGAGCCAATTTGAAAACCAATATAATTCAGGCCCACCACGATGAGCATAACAACGTTCAGCTCAGCCACTTAAAATCATCATCATTCATCCCCTAGGATAGGCTGCCTGATCATCTCTGAGTGACTGAGACTCACCTGTCTCCACAAACAAGCAGAACAACTCTAATATTCTATACTGATGAAAGGCTGTATGCAGTCTGAAGGGATGTCTGTCTACCGGTCTGTCTGTTTTATTCAGGGGCACGGACAGACCTGACGTCTGCAGACTGCGTGTGTGATCAAGTCCATTATTCTCAGGGTCACAGAGGGAAGAGAGAATGAGAGGGAAAAGAGAGAGAGAGAGTGAAGAGAGAGAGGAAATGGAGTGAAGAGGGCGAGAGAGACCAATTCAGTGAAGCCCTATTCATGAGTTGGAAACAAATTAATGGATTGCAGTAAGATGACTCATTGGTGCCATTTATGGACCTCGAGGAGAGGAGGCTGTGCCTGAATGAGTGTGTGACTTTATGAATGTGTGGGTGTGTGTGTGCACAACGTGTAGGCCTGTGTGTGTGTGTGTGCCACTCACCTGTATCCCTATGGAAGAGCGTGGTGTTTTGAGGTACTCCTCAGCCTTGGACACCAGGATGGCTTTATCACAGGTCATCACTGAGCTGTGACGGTCTGTGGACGGGTGCCTCTTCCCAGACATCAGCCCAGCTGCCTCCATGGCTATAGTCACGGCCTTGGCACTGTCCAGGCTGTCTGTGGAGTTATACAGGGCCCTGCCCAGGCTAAGGCCCAGCCCGTCCCCCCACCCTCGAGGGTGCCTGCCCTCGTGATACGCGTCCTGGGTGGACTCTGTACTGCTCTGAGCCGTGACAGAGATGAGGGGCTTGGAGCCTGAGGTGGAGCGGGGTGGGACTGGCGGAGGGGTCGTCTTCTTGTAGTTGTTCATGTACGTGACCGCTGAAAAATAGAAGAATAGAGGAGGTCAAAGTTCAAACTAATGCATATGATGTGGTAGTTCAAGTACTGTAGGGCTATGCCGTTGACGATAAGAGAGAGGAGAGACCACTGAGTACTATTCACTGTGGATTGTTGACAGCCCTTCTCCTTACATGTATTTGATGAGCAAGGGATTATAAGAGAATATGGTGTTAAATCTGTTGGACTGTTGGACTAATAAATGACTCTGGGTTTGATGTGTCCTCTTCTTTAAACCAGAGCTTTGAAGGAGTAGCCTAATACAAACAGCTTGTCCATTTAAAGAACATCTAATGATCAAAGCCCAGAGTGGTCTTGGCTCATCAGAACTCTCAGAGAGGGAATGAGGAACACCCTGAATTACACAGTAGGTCAGCACTTTGTTTCCCATTCACAAAATGATCTCAAAGAGGTCACCAAGATGAGTCAGTAGAGAGAGAGTGTAAAAAAGAAGAGATTAAAAAAAAGAGACAGAGGGAGAGTGAGAGAGCAAGAGAGATAGAAAGAAAGAAAGAGAGGGTGAGGAAGAGAGGGAAATAAAGACAGAGAGAAAGAGGGAGAGATGATTCAGCAGAAGGACCAAAATAGACACATTATTTCCAAGCGACTCATGCAATGGGGACTCATAACTCTTGCCCCGATCTTGGCAGTGTTACTTAGCATTTAGCCTGTCCCCTCACGTCCCAGAAAACAGCCCAACAGCACAGAGAGATGGGAACAATACACCAGGCACCGTTTGAGGCATGTACACAAATACAAAAACACATATTCGACAAGGACAAATTATTTCTAATGAATATTGAAATGCAGAAAAGCCTATGGGCTGCTTGTAAAAGGAAATAAACTGAACTACAATGGCAACCATACCAGGCAGACAGGTGGTTTTACTTTACCTTTAAATCACACAATAACTAACCAGACAGAAAACCTGATCTTTATCTCCATGACAACAATGTGGACACATTTACTTCACACTAAACAAGAACATCGTGTTGACAAGAATGCTGCCGAGTTAAGTGGTAAACTGTGCTTTCTGAATAGAACAATAACAGTTTTTTCTTAAATATTTTCTTAAAACTCAAGAGGATTTCTTATGGAAAACTTTAGCATTACAAATTCATCATGCTGAATCATTTTGTGCTCAAGCACCCCAAACACACACAGACACACACACACATCCAGTTTGATTAACTTGAGACACAATGAGCGTGATTCAAGTGCTCAGTCTCTGTTAGGGAATCTCAATTGATCAGGTCTGAATTGTATGCTAATAGTAGAGAGAGCAAGGGACTTGAGGGACGTGTCATTAAGAGCGTTTCTTCCAGATTAAATTGATCACTCTCATAAAACTGTGCTTCATTTTGCAGGCTTTTAAGGATATGTAAATGACCTGGGTGCATGGATGGAGAACTCTATTATCATCACTGTCAAGAGTGTCCCAGCCCAAAAAACTACAAAAATACAAAGATGAGAACTACCTTAGACACTTACTAAAACTACTTCAGAGAGAGGGGAGGGGGAGAGAGAGAGAGCATGGAGTGAGTGCCTAGAGAGAGAGTAGAGAGAGAGAGAGAGCATGGAGAGTGAGAGCACAGAGAGAGAGAAAGCACGGAGAGCATGGAGAGAGAGACAGAGCTCTAGTCGGACAAGACAGGACAGGAGAGAGAAGTGTGCCAGACACCAGTGACTTCCTCTCTGTTACTCCATAGCTGACAGCACAGCATCTGCCACAGTGACTGATGTAAATATCCTGGCCTGAACTCCATCCTTTAAAACAAAATGGCTTGACAAAGTGCTCTGCCCGCCAGATGGATCACTAAGGCCCAAGGAAATAAACATAGAAACCTTGGCCTGTACAGAGGAGAAGGCTGTGTGTGGGTTGCTGCTGTCCTGGCTGGACCTGGGTGGAGAGGGAGGGGGCATGAGGGGTGTCCGGTTGAAGGGAGGGGCGGAGGGAGGGAGGCAAGGGGGCTCATAACTGACGGACCATCAGTCATGTGGGCCAATGTCCGGAAAGCGTTCGTCATCGATAGAGCACTCACGACTTCTCTCACTCCCTCAGCCCGTTTCAGGAGGAGGAGCGCGAGAGGAGAACGGGGTAGAAGAGGAGTGGGTGCAGGACCATTTTACATTCCACTGTCGTTTTTCAATCTACCTTTGAGATAAAGGCTTGTGCCTGATGAACCAATAAGGTAGAGAGATGCTCAAGGAGAAAACAACCAGGAGTGACCAAACAGGAACACAGAGATAGAGATAGTCGCTGGGTCTTAGCAGTAAAACGAATGCTTGTTTTCAGGGATTATTAATAATGTGGTGGTGTTGCTGTGTTTATCTTGATAAATTCGATAAGCCAGTGTGAGAGTGAGACTGCTCTCTCACAGCATTCTAACTGTATTTCATGAATAAATAATAATGATGCTGGATCAAAACATGTTATTCATCACCACCTATTGGCTCGGACAGGAGGTTTACCTGGGGTTTCGTGGGTCGTCCGGTCAATGGTGCAGATAGAGGGAAGACGGAACTGGATCCCTGAAACAAGCCAGCCAATCACATTCAACATCCTGGTCACATCTGCCTAGTGCTCAAAACATGCACCAATCACAGTCCACTATACAGAAAAACAGCTACATACTGTAAGTGTCCACAGAGATAAGATGACAATGGCAGATAAATCAAGGATAATGTATCAATTCAAACACATCGGTTGGACTGTGAGGAAACAGCAGAATACTTTTTCCTTCAACAGTAACATACAGGTAACTGACAAAATAAAGGAAACACCAACATAAAGTGTCTTAATAGGGCGTTGGGCCACCACGAGCCGCCAGAGCAGCGTCAATGTGACTTGGCATGATTCTACAAGTGTTTAGAACTCTTTTGGAGGGGTGCGACACCATTCTTCCACGAGAAATTCCATCATTTGGTGTTATGTTGATGGTGGTGGAAAACGCTGTCTCAGGCACCGCTCCAGAATCTCCCATTAGTGTTCAATTAGGTTGAGATCTGAGACACACACACACACAAACCGCCTCTGCTCCTTTGAGACCCCTCTTTCAAAGTCACTCGGATCTCTTCTTCTAGCCATGGTAGCCAAAATAATGGGCAACTGGGCATTTATATACATGACCCTAAGCATGATAGGATGCTAACTGCTTAATTAATTTAGGAACCACACCTGTGTGGAACCACCTGCTTTCAAAATACTTTGTATCCCTCATTTACTCAAGCGTTTCCTGTATTTTGGCAGTTACCTGTATATTCACACAGTGAAAAGGAAGCTAAGATTAGGTGACATTTGTGGCCATCTATCCATGGAAATATGCACTCAGAAGATAAGGCTCTTGCCTAATAGTTAGCTGATTAAAGTTTTGGTTCCTTGATGATTACATAGATTCATTTAGTTTTTAACTAGCAATCAGATTTACAGCACAATGCTACATTTCAAGTGATTTAAATTTTAAATGAAAGATATGTTCTTATACAAGATATGACCCTAGTTGACCCTGGAAACTGTAATAGGACCAGTAAGAGGCTGTGAGAAGACATACAAAGAGGAAGCAATCACAGCAATCATGGTGAGACATTTACGCATCACTCTCAAGCTAAAGCAGCTGAGATCATTGGCTAATTGGTAGATGGCATTAGCATCCTTGTAAGAAAACTGATGGGAAGGCGAACGTGAAGAGCTAATCTGACAGTTTAGCATGGCTAAACAGAAAATAATGAATGACAGATGGGCAGTTAGAGGTATGGGCATGGGCAAGCATGGCTCATCTTGCTGGGTGCGCTCTTTGAGCACTTTGGGGATTGCTAAGCAACGTTGGAGCACCATACTAGGCAATGAGGGTGGAAGAGGAATGTCTTTACGTTCCTAACTTGATAGTAAGAAATAGGTGATAGTAAAAACATTTTTTACTAAAGGAGAGCATTTTAACTTCCAGTTATCAATGTTGGGTAAAATAGCCCACCCCAAAAAACTAAGAACATTCTAGGCTGATCACTCGCTGTGAGGTGAAGTTCTCTACAACAACACTCTCATTAAATCATATGCGTCAGAGGTGTGTTCATGTTGCATCAAATGTTGCTGTCCTAATATGAACACCGTACAATTGGTATGTCATAACATGTCTTGGCCCGCTTCTAGATGACACTGTCTCTAATGAAAAATCAAACAATGCAGCAACAGCGAGAGGAAGTGTGATGTATTATGCAGTGGAAAGGAAGTAAATGAATGTGACAATACAACCTAATTAACTTCTCTCCTGTGAAAACATTGTCAGATTCAGCCAATTTAGCAAACTTTCCTAAACTGCAGCACATGAAAACAAGGAATTAAGCACAGTTTTTGCTCAAAACAATAGGACAGAGTATCACTTCTTAGATAGTCACTGTTTAAAAGTGTACAACTCAAATACATTTCTTATCAAAGCTTTTTTTTCCCCCAGTGCACTTTATTAGGGCCCAGGATTTTATGGGCAATTTCATATACAGCTCCTTAATAAGGATAGCATAGAGGTCTCGTGTTTCATCTGGCTGGTGCCTTGCTGGTAGCAGAGCTGTCATTCTGTATTTTCACAAGAAAATACGACCCAGCACCAAACGCAGTACAGTAGGTGTCAAAATAATAAGTCTTCAGAATCATCATAACCATGCAGTTTAACATCATCACTATCTCGGATCTCCAGGTCAATAATGTCACCAATCATTCTTAGAAATAATCTGGTGATTTACATATTTTGTTGTATACAAAATGATGAACATTAACATTTGGATACACTTGAGTAGCAGCTGTTAGAATTCTCAGTTTTTGGTTCCTGAGCATGAGGATGATAAATGACAGTAGAGACACAGCAACATCACTTCCCTGTGGCAGACAGACAGACAGGACCTCCATGCCATCGCTACCTGGGGATGGATGGAGTTGACATTGACAGGGAAACATCCCAACAGATGTCTTTGAAGCTTCTGTCAGATATATTTTGATGTATACAGTGTAGGTGTTGGACAAGACTGACTTAACTGACAAAAGCAAGGGATAGGCATAGTAACAGTGTGTGTGTGTGTGTGTGTGTGTGTGTGTGTGTGTGTGTGTGTGTGTGTGTGTGTGTATGTATGTGTGTGTGTGCATGCGTGCTAGCACTCTGGTACCCTGTAAACCATGACCCATTTTGTATTCTAGTCAAGTCTGTTGCCCATGTTGTGAATGGTTTCTGTTCATACAAGGACCTGTACATTGCTAGACATTACCTCCTTTTCAACCTGATAGCCAGCGAGGTGAGACAGGTAGTCTCACCAACTGCATACATCCTTAAACATTCTTGTGTAAGAGGAAGTTAGTTGTTATCATGTTGATGATACTGTATTTTCCTGTGTACCAAATCCCCCAGATATTGTTGTTGTGGGGGAGGCCAGATGGAGGTGCTCACATGGAGCAGGCCTTTGGTGACAAGCTTCTTAAATACCAGCCCCTCGTATCACACTTGGACAGCCTCGGATATAGGTGCAAGCTAGTAGCACTGATATTTGGCAGTCTTGGCCACGTACATAGGCTTACAGTACGTGGCCTCCAGATTGCAGGCCTGCCAAAGACTAAAGCATTTGGCTTGGTACTGCTCTGTTTCAGCTGTTATGGGCAGCCAAGCTGTTTGGAGAAGGAGGTGCTTTCTGTATCCTTAAGTGTCCATGCATACAAAAACCGTTGACATGTTTGAATCCTTCTTGAATGTAATGTGATTTGTGGATTCAAATAAAGTCTTTAAAATGTTTGTGCCTGTGTATCTGTGTGTGTGTTTCTGCATGTGTAAAAACATAGAGTGAAAGTATTCCCAACAGTCCAAACAGCTACTGAGTATTTCTGTTCCATAATCTGATTTTATGAACAATGTAAATTCCCAAGGTTCCCGTTTGTTCCTATAGAGTAAATCCAATGGCTCATTTGATTTACAGCCAGTCTTTGAGATTTATAGTTATATGATAACTACCAAGATTTACTTTGCTCCATTCCGGAGTGACATTGAACAGAAAACTCAAGATATGTCATGAAAAACAATATATCCACAGAAAAACAATATATCCACAGAAAAACAATATATCCACAGAAAAACAATATCTCCACAGTCAGAGTAAAGACTGTCAAGACCCATAAGCAAAGGGCAGTCTATTTAGTCTACCACAGAGCTCCACAGAGTCTTTGGTAAAATGTGGTAAATGTCATTTGTGACAGATGACAGACTCATCGATTAATAAGTATACATTCAATACTAGTCCTCTTAAAGAACAGTAAGAACAATTAATGTCAATGTTCACTAATGCTTACAGCAGTTCAGAATGCTTTGGTCCATCAGTTCAAGCCAAGTGCAATTGAAGTCTGATGTACATTCAAATTCTTTGATTGTTCATCACATTCTTATGGTACATTCCATCCAGCTATGCGGTTGCTGCCACTAATATAGTCCTTTAATGTCAAACCACATTAATGGTCAAGGGGTTATCCTACGCATTAGGAAACATTCATACAGTGCTTTACGTGGCCACGATACCCAGAAGAATGCATCCATTAAGATCCATAGTAAAACACTGCCTTTGGACATCAATACTAAATGTTCCCATGTTGTCATCTGCTACTGATACATTCATCGCCACATTCTTCTTAGTGTTCAGAGTGTCAGAGACATGTATGTTATCTCCGCACTGTTGTACTCATATCTCCCACTCCATAGCTCTACACTAGAGCTCCTCTTCATGGAGCGTGGTTCCCACTGGGGAGCCTTCTGCTGCCACCTGTCCTGGTCACAGTGAGACTTCCCTGGGTTGTCAGGGGCTGTGTCCCCCTCTTTATCTCCAGGGTCCTCACAGACATCCATGCCAGAGGGATCTGTGGCTTCCCCTGTGGCATCCTCTGGCTCCATGGGTGCCATCTCAAATGGGGACAAGCTAATGCTAGCTGGGTCTAGTAATAATAGTAGTGGATCTAGGTCTAGGATGACTGGTTCTGGGTGGCATATATAGTCCAGGTCTACTGAGTCTGGGGTGAATGGACTGCCCAGTCCGAAGGAGACCGGACCAGGTGAATGAACTGTAACTTGGTCCTGTGGTTCTGGATCTTCGGGGAACTCAGTAGGTAGGTATTCATGCATTTGATCTAATCGGTACTCCATAGCTGGGTCCACACACACTGATTCCATTCGGTATATAGAGGGTTGGTCCAGACTGGGGGGGCTCAGAGAAACTGGGTCTGGTGGTGTGTACATGGCGATTGGGCTGAGATCAGATGAACTCACACTAATGGTCTCCAGAGGTTCCGGCGGATCCAAGAAGACTGAGTTCAGATCTGATTCATCTGAGGAATTGAAGGTGGTTAAGTCCAAATGGACCACAAATGGATCAGATGGACAATCAGTGGCCTGGTCCACTGGTTCTGGACAAGGTGGCCATTCTGGCTCCAGAGACTCATCAAACTCATCAAAGGAGTCGATGGTGACTGGATATGCATGCACTACTATTTCCGATGAGAATATGTCTAAATCTAAGGGGATTGGATCTGGGAGGTCTGGAAAGCAGACGTTGGCTAGGTCCTGTGATTCTGAATCAGGTGGGATCAGACACACATCCAGTGGTTCTAAATCAGTTGGGCTCTTTGGTGTAACTATGACAGTTGGGAAAATGGTAACTGAGTATTGATCAAGTTTATCTGATGAGCACACATTAGTAGGGGACAGTGGTTCTATCTCTGGCTCTGTTGAGACTATAGGGCCTGGGTCTAATGGTTCAGGATCTGAAAGACACACAGGAACTGGGTCTTGAGACACTGGATTTTGCTGGCACACAGTATCGTCTTCCACAGATTCTGAATCTGATGCGGACAAGTCAGAGTCTGACTCTTGTGGTGGGGACACAGTAACCACAGGTACTGGATATGGTAGGTGCATAATTATTGGTTCTGGGACTAGGGGTTTCACATTAACTGAGTCAATTGATTCTGTATCTGAAGGGTTCAGATTAACTGGGTCCAGCTTGTTTGTTTCTTCAAGGTACACATTAGCTACGTCTGCGGGCACTGGATCTGGAGAGCACAAAGTCTTTGGGTTCAGCTGCTCTGAATCTAGGGGGTCCTCAATGGCTGGATCCACTGACTGTGCTTCTGAGGAGCTCATGCTGACTGGGTCAGGAGATACCAGTTCTGATAGCCTCTTAGTGTTCTGGTCCAGTGGTTCTGGGCGAACCACAGTGTTTGATGAGTCTACTGGCACTGGTTCTGTTTGGATCATGGTAACTGGATCCACAAGTACTGGATCTAGAGTGATCGGGATAGAACCCTCCACGAACAGCGATGCTGGACGCCTTAGAATGGCTGGGTCCATTGAGATCTGTTTAGGAAGATGGCGCATCACGACGGCCTGCTTCTCCTGCACCTCTCCCTCCTCAGGACAGTTGACGGCTGCATCCGCCGTGCTCTGTCTCACCAGCACCTTGCTCCTGGCCTGCGTCCCTACTGACAATTGAGCCACTTTAGGCCGTTTCCCAGCCGCCCCTGTTCCCCCAGACGCCCCAGGCTGTGGAGACCACGTGCTGTAGTGCTGCGTGAAGCTGTTGAAGTTACTATTGAAGGCCCTGAGCTCAGTGCACAGGTCCCTCCTGAGATCAGACAGCTCACGACGCATGGCCGACACTTCCTCCTTCCACTGCATGCTGATGGTTGCAGCCAATTGGGCCGACTCCTTGATACTGGCCTGGATTGCTTTGGGTGAGGGCCTCTCTGGGGCCTGGATGCTAGCTTTAGGGGGCCTGAACAGGCTGGGTGAAACAGGGGGCCCAGACTGGGGTTTGGCTGTAGCACTGATACTGTCTTGGCGGTACAGTATGTCTCTTCTGATAGGGCAGCCTAGATCATCATGGGCCAATGGGCCTGTGTCTGCCACGTCTCGATGTACACTGGCCTGGTACTCAGGTAAGCTAGTGGCTTCCTGTGTATATTTTCCCTCTGGAAGACAAACGTAAATATGTATAGTATGTCATCAGACCACAGGTGTGAGCAGCTGGAGAGAATGTGCTATCGGAGCCACAAAGCACAGAAATCAAGTCATGCAGTTTTTAGGTTAAGAAATGTATGAGTCAAAATAAGACTTGAAATTGTTAGTATCTAAAAATAATTATTACAGTATGTGCTTGAATCTATGATGCTACATAAGGAAACCTTTAGGAACATAAATAAACTAAATGTTCATAGTCCCATTTTGACTCATATTTATGATTATGGTTTACACTGCCTTCTCAATCTCAAATGAACCTGTATCATGCATGCGTCTCATCTTTTCACTGCATAAAGACAGCCCCAAAAACACATGAGAAAGAATAAGAAACTGTAAAAACCTACTGTATGCATGGTATTCAAAACCTCTGGAAGATTGACCACATATGATACAGGTGTAACTTGGTACACTGGAAAGAAGCAAAGATGAACAACGCATCCCCACCTCTATCAGGAAGTATAGTATGAACCCTATTGAACATCATGAGGTCCAGTATAACCTATCTACCTGAAGTCAGAGGGTGGAACCAATCGCCCAAAGACTCCTGACATCAGACACAACCCACCCTCCACACCATAGATTACATGAAACTGCAATTACACATTTTAAGATGTTTAGTTTGTTGAGAAAGCAGTGTAAATAACTGGAAAAAATCTGTCAAAAGCACAATTCTCCAGATGGCCACACCTTCTCTGACCCTTCCCATATATCATTGGTATAACTCCACGGCAGAAAGAATGGGTACCACTGGAAAGATGTTGATCTTCTTTTTTTAAGACTTCACTTCTTTACAAGGGCAAGGTTGTTGTTGTTTTTGTGCAGATCCAGGAATGGAAAACAATGTCATGGCTACTATTTTTCCCCTGGCGAAGCAGGCGACCTTACAGGACCGTTTGCTGAAGTGCTTTTAGTCACTCAGTGTCACACTTGCAGTTTATTTTATTTCACATGAAAGAAAAACAACATTTTTGTGACCTCAATTTTGTTGACCAATGCAGTTATTACCCACCACATCTGTAGGAACTGAACTGGAGAATCTGTGGGATAGAAAACTCAAAGCACAAGGTGTGTGTGCATCACTGTGTGGTTTGTAAGTACACGTAGATAAAGCTGTAGTAAACCCATTCAGTCATGAAGACTCTGGAGTTGAAGGACTGTTCATCTCAGCCCTTTTTCCCCTGCCCAGAGTGTCAGTCAAGCTGAGAACACACCCAAAGCACCTGTGGCTTATCATGAAATTAGGTTTAGACCCAGATTGTGCTCAAGGCGAGCAAATCCATCACGTAAAATAAAAACCTATGGTACAGAAACAGCAACGAGGGAGAATAAAATCCATAATTCCCTTAATCTGAAAAGGTCTCATGATATAACGTTCACTTCATGTGCCTGCAGAATGATTTCAATAGGGTTCATAACTTTTCTCTCTGATATGAATGATGAATGAGGATATTAATTACTGTATTGAAAATGCAATAAGATGGATTGGCTCAAAGCAACTCATAAACTGTACTTGAATACTATTTTTATATCAACAATCAAGAAATATGTAAAAGTGATTCATGCAAACGTATGAAGCCATTTCATAAAGCATTTCAAGAGCAGAGCAACACAAGAAATATCATGTGCATGCTGTTAACTTCATCAATCTCACTTGATATAACATTTTGCTATTTACAAATGGTAACTGTCTTAACTGATGTATAAAGATTACTTGCATGGTTATTTCAACATATCATCGACTTTGGATACTAGATCAGCTGTCCTCTTAATCAATTGTTCATACACTACTGTGTCTGTTTATGTACTGCAGTCCCCTCCTTCCCTGTTGGTCTTACCTGTGGTGGACCTGATGGTGGAGGTGACGGTGGAGGAGGTCATGGAGGGGATGTAGTCATCATCCTGGGAGTAGCCAGCCTGGATGGCCCTCAGGTAGCTGTGGCTCCGTGTCCGGAAACAGCCGGGCAGGTCCAGAGCCTCCACAGCCTGGGATTCCACCTCACTGAACACCGACTCACACACTGACTCAAACTGACCGTTTATCTCTGTCTCACTCACCTGCAGGAGAGAACAACATTTTTCACTTTTCTTTTAGTTTTTGCCTTTGTGGGAAGAAATGAATTGGTTGTTAACAAAGTTTGCTTGAAATGGGTACCAGCTAATTGCCAGGAGAGCAAATGTTTGAAAAGGATAGAGTTTGCAGAGAGAGGTAAACAAAATTGTATTGTTCAAATTCTGGTTTAATTTGAGCATTTTCTTGAAACGCAATTACTTTGTGAATGTCAAGCCTATGAGTTGCTCACCAGGACAATGTTTTTTGGTTGTTGTTTTTGTTTTTGTTTTTCTCAGTTTCTTCAGTTTCTTCAGTTTCTTCAGTTTCTTCAGTTTGCCGCAGTAGCTCACATTATGCATTCTGAAAGCTAGATCTATGATGACATTTTTAAAGGATTGGAGGAATTCAAGGTCATATCCTGTAGTGGCATAGCATACTGTATGAGTGTTAGTTCCCTCTGAATCCCCTGAGAGAATGTGAGTCCTGACCTCGACAGAACCATTATTTGGCAATCTTAATATCCTCAGACAGATATGCATCTTGTGATTTAAAGATATCCATTTAGGGAAAATGAAATGGTATCTATCTCGCCATTGCTATTTGGCAATCTTTAAAATCGGAGATAAGGATCCTGTTCTATTGAAAGATATTATCTTGTAATAACCTCAGCAAGGTACCGTGGAGGCAGAGATAGACACAGGGAATTAGGGGGGGAGCGGTTGAGCTTTTAAGACTTGGGACAAATCAATACACCCCGACTTTAAGAGAGAGATTTAGATCTTAAATGAATATAAACCAGAGACATAACATACTCCATTTGGCTTTTACACATTAAAATGGTTTTAATGTCCATTCTAGAATGCCCTTCTAGCCAATCAGAAACGAGTATTCAACAATGCTGTGGTATAAGATAAAAGTACCTGAATCTAAGGGAGGTTAAAGACAGCATTGAATAAAAGAAGAGAGAAAGAACGCGAAATCCACTGACAGGAGCCAGAGTCAGGGCAGACGGCCGTCGTGACATCTGACGTAAGACAATGATAATATCCTGGACATATCATTGTTATAGGCCAGGGACTCACCTGGCTGACCTGGCTAACACAGCTGGCCTGGCTGAGAGTGCTGACTGCCCGCATGTAGCTCTGGTTCCTGGAGCGGAACTGTGCTGCTGGGAGAGGTGGCTGCTGGGAGTTGTAGTTGGTGGAGGGCTCCAGTGCCATGCTGGGGTGGTGGGGGTGCATGTCTCTGGAGGCCTGCAAGTGGTAGTTCTGACTGAACGGAGAGAGAGAGAGAGCGAGAGAGAGACGACAGAGAGAGAAAGATGACAGAGAGAGAGATGACAGAGAGAGAGAGCGACGACAGAGAGAGAGATGACAGAGAGAGAGAGAGACGACAGAGAGAGAGAGACGACATAGAGAGAGAGCGACGACAGAGAGAGAAAGATGACAGAGAGAGACGACAGAGAGAGAAAGATGACAGAGAGAGAGACGACAGAGAGAGAGACAACAGAGAGAGAAAGATGACAGAGAGAGAGATGACAGAGTGAGAAAGATGACAGAGAGAGAGATGACAGAGAGAGAGAGATGACAGAGAGAGACGACAGAGAGAGAAAGATGACAGAGAGAGAGAGACGACAGAGAGAGAGATAGAGACACACACAGGAGACATACACAGAGAGAAATAGAGACAATAGTCGTCAAGGTGCCGTAGAAATGAACTTAATCATTTTAATTAAAGGTACTTTGACTAATAAACAAGTAATTTGACACATTGCCACAGTTGTTACAAAGGGGGAAAAAACTGTGAAGTCTTATTAACTTCACGGCAGGCATCCTCTGGGCGAGCTGAACTTCAGACTGAGACTGATTATGACATTGCATTCCACAGGGGAGGTGGCTCTTCCTCACCCCACTAAATCATTGCTGTGTTCAACAGTGTCCTCGAAATGGCAATTCGATTTGCTATTGTGCTGAAACATTCAATCAATGCTTGACGATGAGGGAAATGCTAATTAGGAGCTAGTTAGCGAGCAGAGCAAGCATTTCTGAGAGAGCAGGAGAGTCAGCCAGGTCAATTAAATGTGCTTCCCCAGAAGGGCAACACAGCCTTTACTCATGGAGTCACAGAGAGGTTGGACTAGAACTGCTAGCATTTTCAACCAAAACTGACATGTAAAGTGCAAAGAGATAGAGGGAGGAAGAGATGGAAAGAGAACAGGTAGGTGGAGAAAGCATAGGAATACAAAATAAGTATAACCTAATGCTATGTCAGATAGGGATGAGTAAGCAGTTTTCTAGCATTTGTGTAGGAACAAAAATTGGTGTGATTATAACCCTGCCACTCCATCAAAAACGGTCAGATATGGACCTTTTGTATTTATACAGCATTCATCGACTATATCAATCATTCATACACTGTATAGCAAGTTATCCCTGGGAGAGATAACATCCAGAGATGAGCCTAGGAAAAAAGGGCATTGAGGTGCAGAGGCTCAGTTAAAGTAACTAATATACTATTAAAAACAAAGATTAGTCACCGGTCAAGACCAGCTACCACTGTGATACATTCAATATCAGTTAAAGACGGAACCAACTCAGTGCTATCAATATAGCTAAGAGCCCATGTAGGTTAGACAGAGCCTTTATTGTGTTCAAGGGTGCTGTATGGCTAGGCGGCATGGCAAGAGAAATAGGAGTTTGGCCTGGCTGACTTGCCATTGACTAGCAATGAGTGTTTGCTGTATGAGGTGTCCATATTGAGTCGGTCAGCAGGGCTCAGTGCCAGCTGGCTTTTCAGCCTGACCACTGCAACATGGCAGCACCAGAGAGTAGAGAGAGAGAGGGAGAACACGGTGCTTGTACTCACCTTAAGTCTGCAGCAAAATTGGTGATGTAGTTGCGCACGTCACTGTTCATTTTATCCACCCGGTAAGAGCTGTGGGGAGAGAGAAGAAGCAGTGTTACTAAGTCCACTGCTGTTGGCAGTCAATGGATGCGGGTGGGACTGAGATCACGATGCAACATCAAAGGATTCTGATTGATTTTGTATGTTTGTGGGGACATCAAATGTTTGCCTGTGATGTTCACCAAAGTGCCGCAAACATTAGGGTGATACAAGTACATGTTTATGGACAAGCTGACCGCCGCAACTGCAACTAATGGAATTAATGGTCATGAAATGGTGCTTAATGGCAGACAGTACCTCATGTTATTGCCCGGTGTCTGTCTGTATAATACACAGACAGACAGACAGACAGACTAGACATCATGGGGGTATTATCCGATTGTGATTACTTTTAGCACACAGTTGTACAATTATAAAACAAAATGAGTCTAAGGTGCACTTAAGAAGATCATCAGCAATTATAAGTAGGCCTATAGGTTACGGCTCATTTACCCATGAAGTGTACAACAATGTAAATGAAAATACAGAGGCTCTCATCATGAATAAAAAGTCATTTTCCAACGGCAGATTAGTTGTGCGTAACTGAGGAGTAAAATACAACTAAAAGTTCCATCCATGAACACTGAAAGCAGCTCCAGCTTTTAGCTGACAACATCAGATGAAAGCGCAGCACATTGACTGACGGAGATACTGTGCATTACTTCACCCATCCCCACAGCGTAGAGATGTCTAGTATAGTCGATAGAGCTTAGACAAGCTCCTTCACAAAAAGGCAACCCTTTATCATTTTTTACCCCAGCACATTTGGCGTTAATGTCTCTACCCGTTGCTAATGCACTTCCCATTGGTGGCAAATATGAAACTATGATACGATGTGAATCTCTGCCTCCCTTTCTCTTCCTGCCTTTCATGCTGGCTGTGAATGGAACCTAATGTATTCTTTCAGTGGTTAAACAAAGATGCTTTTGCCGAGACAAAGTCATTGTGCTGAGTTCTACCAAAACGGAGAGAGAGAGAGAGGGAAAAGTCATATGTAAGAGTACAAAGGAGAGGGAGAATGCTGCAGCTAGGAGAAAGAGAGTGTGTTATAAAGCCGGAGAATGAACTCCAGAGAGAGAGGGAGGAAGAGAAAAAGGAAGAGGGGGAGAGAGAGAGCGAGAGAGAGAGAGAGAGAGGGAGAGAGAGAGAGAGAGAGGGAGAAAGAGAGAGAGAGAGAGGGAGATAGAGAGTGCATTAAACCTTGAGAGTGAACAGATGAGGGCAATAGGAACACACTAGGCATTATAACTTCTGGGAAATGTGTCTGCTCTATAACAGGAAGGTCAGCAGATATATGGCCTACAGCAGCCCAGACAACCAGAACTAACAGCAAAGCCCAATAGAGAATAACCACATTGTCTTAATGTTTACTGTCAGTGGGACTCAAGATAATGAGCAGTGCAGTTTAGCCTCATCCCGGAAGACAGGGGTCAAGAGACAGTAAGGAAATCAGGAAGTCAGAGGGACCTACAAATGGGTTTAAGCCACATTATAAATCCATTATAATCATCAGTGTCTAATGATTAAAAGCTATTATCATCATCATCCGCACCATGAACATACAGTAGGAGATAGAAATAAATAGCAGGTACATGGCCAAAAAATATATAAGCCAATGTTTATATGAGCCCCTTTCAAACAGCCCCTTATTTACCACTTTCTTTCTTTTTTTTTGAGGGGGCTGTTTGAAGTTCAAATTAGGGAGGCGTTAAACAATAAATGGAAGTGTTAATGAATTTACCTGCAAAAAAACTGAGAACCATTCACACAAACACGATACCTGTATTTTGGTTACAGGGTCTGTGAAAATGCAGGAATCATGACTAGGTCTTTAGGTGGGTTTTAATTGACTTTGTTTTTTACCCCCTACCCCTTTCAGATGTACCAAAACGCTGCTTTAAAAAAGTGGGATTTTGGTCTGTGTATTCACTGTAGACAGTGTTGGGCTACCTGGTTCAGGCCAGGCTGAAGAATGCCTGCTGTGGAGGCCGATAGCCTAGTGTTTAAGTAACTGAAAGGTCGCTGGTTCGAATCCCTGACCCGACTAGGTGAAAAATCTGTTCCTGTGCCCTTGATCAAGGCACTTAACCCTAGTTCCTGTAAGTGACTAAAATGTATGAAAGGGATATTACAGTTAATAATGACTGTACCCTTAAAGGCAACAAGGACTTTAACTATGAGTGAAAGTACCACACAGATCTACTGTATATAGTATAAGTCTTATGGGAACAGCTCAACAAACAACGAAGCAGTGTCTCAAACAGCAACTAATCAATGGAATGGGATTTCTCTCCGACATTGAGATGTGAGCAACAAGCGTTCATCTGATACGCAATCGCAATCTGAATGACTAATTGCCTTATTTCACATCAGGAACTAACGAATGCGTCACGCATGTTCATTTTGGTTCATTATGACTGCTACTCAACAGGCTAATCATAATTTGAAGAGAAAAAAACAGAGTTATTTTAAAACCTGCCTCAAATAGCTGGGGTTGATTGGTTTGGCTTTCGTAGATCTTGTCCCCCCCATTCCTAATGGGAAGGCAGCCTTTAGAGAAAGTGTGCCTCTCTCCAATGAGGGGGAGTGCTCCTCTGCTCCTCTATCAAACGCTATGTGTACCATGCCTGATTGACTCATTAACTTATCCTGCTATGCAGTGATGCTTTATTTTGCCAAATGCCTTTCCAGTCCTTATCATCATCATTAACACATCCCTTAAACGAGTATGGCTAGTCCCTTGTATCGCTGCGTGAAATCCGATACAAATAACATTAATTCATCTTAGTCTACAACCTACAGCTTGGGACCCCAAGGCACCTTTTGGTGGGTGTAAATTATCATTAATTAAAATGACCATCAATGTCAGCCCCCTCTTGTGGTGGAGCGTTTCAGCTGAATGGGCCTAGAGACAGGCTTGGTGACGGTGATGTATTCTTTATTGGTGAGAAAGTGGATAGAGAACCACCCTGTCAGCCATGAGAGGGAGGTGACACAAACCAAAGGCTGTTCTCACTTTAACACAATTAGCTACAAGAACCTCTGCCGTCAAATTTACACCCACCGCGACCCCGAGGGAGAGGAAATTGCTTCAAATGGGAACAGAAATCCAACCTTGCTCACACACACGCCTCAAATCCAATCCAATTCAGTCCAAACAAGCAGTGAGCCATGATATTATGAGAGCTTTTATGTCAGGTGCCACTCAGATTAGCACTGCCACTCAAGCATGGAGCCCCACACTACAGCCAAATCTGGACCATTTTTGGAGCAATGGCAGAGATAATTCGTATGGCACAAGCCAGGGTCTAAAACAATTAAAATATAAAGTATCTTTTGAGTTCATAATTAGTCAAAATTAACATGTAAAATTAAAAGGGAAATTAGTAGGGCCAGGAGTTTTACTGACAATGTGAACTTACCAGGAAAAACTCTGGGCCTCAAGGTCAGCCAAAACTACTGGGCCTAGAGGTGAGGCTCAAACTTCAATAGCTACAATAGGAGCCACAGACAGGCAATACTGGAGCAGTCCTGAGGTGTCACAGGAAGACAAATGGTAAGACAAAGAGAATACTATTCAGCCCCTTCAGTCATTAATGAAAGGCCTCCACAGCAGGCATTCTTCAGCCTGGCCTGAACCAGGTAGCCCAACACTGCAACACTAACATGTTGAGGTAGCCCAACACTGTCTACAGTGAATACAGGAGAAACCTCATCAACTGTCTCCATACTTGTATTGTTGTCAATGGACTCTGAGGCGGGCCGTGGGGCCGGGCAACATACAATTATCCATAAAGGTCAATATTCCTCTTTCACTGAGAACAGCAGGCTCCTGGACTAACTGCTGAGAGAGGCATTACCCAGAGAGACCCTCAGAGCATAATAAGTGCAATGGATATCTGCTGCTCCATCCTCTAAATCACTCCCTGTTTAGTGGCATTCTTAATGGAGTGTAATAGTTAGTACCCAAATCCAAAAACCATTTTGTTTTCATAGCTACTGGTTTTGGATCATAGGCTGATGAAGGGCATTAGCAAAGCCACTATCATCACATAATTAATATAATAAACTGCTGCATTGTGTAGTACTGTGTGTGTGTGTGTGTGTGTGTGTGTGTGTGTGTGTGTGTGTGTGCGTGTCCTATCGCACTGACGTGCATTCACACATTGCTTTCACACGTCAACGACATATACACTCACGGAGGACTTTTAAACCGTTCAAATTTAATTTCAACTTCTTATCAGACAAAATAATAATCCTTTGCAAAAAATAGCAGTGGAAATGAAATGTAATTAACACCCCAGAATCCTGGGTAACTCATTTTAATTGTGCGTGTGTCAGGCTGACAGCGGTGTGAGTATTAAGGGATTGTGTTTGCTTCACTTGCTGTGATGTCAGTATTTTCCAGGAAAAAGCCTTGCTGTCCCCTAACAGTAATTTAGCAACCTGTGTTGAATGGTAATGAGCAGAGCTGCTGCAGCATGCAGGGGTTGGGGAGGAGAGAAACTCACCACAGCCATACAGAGAGAGGTAGGATACTATCAAATCAAATCACATTTTATTTGCCACAAGCGCCGAATACAACAGGTGCCGAATACAATACCTTACAGTGAAATGCTTACTTACAAGCCCTTAACCAACAATGCAGTTAAAAAAAAAAAACTTTAAAAAAAAGTGTGAAGTAAAAAATAGATTAATTAAAGAGCAGCAGTAAAATCAAATAACAGTATGGAAGCTATATACAGGGGGTACCAGTACAGAGTCAATGTGCGGGGGCACCGGTTAGTCGAGGTAATTGAGGTAACATGTACATGTAGGTAGAGTTACAGTGACCTTGCATAAATAATAAACAGAGTAGCAGCAGCGTAAAAGAGGGGGTTGGGGTGGGGTGGGGTGGGAGGGGCAATGCAAATAGTCCGGGTAGCCATGATTAGCTGTTCAGGAGTCTTATGGCTTGGGGGTAGAAGCTGTTAAGAAGCCTTTTGGACCTAGACTTGCCGTGCGGTAGCAGAGAGAACAGTCTATGACTAGGGTGGCTGGAGTCTTTGACCATTTTTGGTATAGAGGTCCTGGATGGCAGGAAGCTTGGCCCCAGTGATGTACTGGGCCGTACGCACTACCCTCTGTAGTGCCTTGCGGTCGGAGGCTGAGCAGTTGCCATACCAGGCGGTGATGCAACCAGTCAGGATGCTCTCAATGGTGCAGCTGTATAACTTTTTGAGGATCTGAGGACCCATGCCAAATCTTTTCAGTCTCCTGAGGGGGAATAGGCTTTGTCGTGCCCTCTTCACGACTGTCTTGGTGTGTTTGGACCATGATAGTTTGTTGGTGGACACCAAGGAACTTCAAGGTCTCAACCTGTTCTACTACAGCCCCGTCGATGAGAATGGGGGCGTGCTCAGTCCTCTTTTTTTCCTGTAGTCCACAATCATCTCCTTGGTCTTGATCACGTTGAGGGAGAGGTTGTTATCTTGGCACCACACGGCCAGTTCTCTGACCTCTTCCCTATAGGCTGTCTCATCATTGTCGGTGATCAGGCCTACCACTGTTGTGTCGTCGGCAAACTTAATGATGGTGTTGGAGTCGTGCCTGGCCATGCAGTCATGGGTGAACAGGGAGTACAGGAGGGGACTGAGCACGCACCCCTGAGGGGCCCCCGTGTTGAGGATCAGCGTGGCAGATGTGTTGTTACCTACCCTTACCACCTGGGGGCGGCCTGTCAGGAAGTCCAGGATCCAGTTGCAGAGGGAGGTGTTTAGTCCCAGGGTCCTTAGCTTAGTGATGAGCTTTGAGGGCACTGTGGTGTTGATGACTGTCATAACTGGATCAAGACCAATATAGAGCTGATGCAGCAGTACAGCAGGGATACCACGAGCACCGTAGAAATGGATAGAGATACATAGGATCTCCATGACAAGAATTACAACAGGCACGTTGCATTTACCTATGGCAATAGGTTTCACACTGTATTAACAACACTAAATTAACATCATGTACCATCAATCTCCATATTGGCATTTTTGCTGTTAAATGTAATGGTGTCAATCAAATGACCAAGAAGAAATATAGAATTTTCGGTATGCCATAATAGCACCAACAAAACATTCCCCCTTTCCAAAATGAAGACTGTGCTAGAACAAAGTAGCCTGTTATGCGAGTGCCAAGAATAGAGTTAATCTAATAGAGACCTGTACATTGATAGAGTCCAGAACATGTCAGTCAATGTGTCTGGTCTGGGAGGAGGGTTTTACAATGGAACATTAATAAAATGGACTCCTGAACCCTCCTGTTATTACTGTTTCCATATTCAACCATGAACAAAGAGAGACAAGTGGCCTTTGAGGAAGAGTGAAAGTGTGCTTGCTCTGGCAGACAGTGGCGCTACATTAACAATTACATCAGGGAAAGATGGATTCGCCAAGTACAATTTAATGTATTTATGTCTGATATAATGCTTACATTAAAAACGCAATAAAGAATAAACTATAGCGGTGGCTCGGAGAATAGTGACTTTCTCATACCTGCACTGACACAATGAAGAACACATTTAATTCAAGACAAAACTCTAAAACCAGTTAGACTGAAAGTCGATGGGAGATGGATTTTACACTGAGATCCACCTTTGAACTACCACAGGAACTCATAAAATGACCACGTTTTTATTGCAATATAACTCTGCCACTGCTCTGCGACCTAAATTGACAAGGATATGAATGATATATGAGAGTGCCCCAGGGGTGAAGGTGAGGAAGTGAGGTAACAAGGAAATGGGAGAAACACTGGGCAAACACAGCAGCCATTGACAAGGACAATTAACAAACCATACAAGGACAAGGAACAGCCCACATGAAAAAACACTACAGTTTACTATAGAATACTACAGTACTTACTATAGAATTCTATATTAATTGTAGTATACTGTAGATTATTCTACTACATACTGTAGTATCTCTTGATCATGTGTAGTACTTACTATAGAATGTTGTAGTATACTGTAGAATACCAAAGTAAATACTGCAGTATGATCTACAAAAAAACACTGTAGTAAATACTACAGTAATGTCCGCAAAAACACTACACTTTTTGAACTATAGTAAATTATACAATATTTCATTTCCAAATACCCTGCACATTCCTCTCACCCATATCCCAATTTGTGCCACCCATAAGTGAGAAATCTACATGCCAAGTATAGACCATTGTGTCCATACAGGTTATAGAAAATATTATTATCCGTTCAGACCCCTGTCCTACCTACCTACAGGTTATGGAAAATGTGCTCTTTTAGTATTTCTCCAGTAGGTTTCCTGAAGGAGAAAGCCACCACTTCTATGTCAAAGATAATCAAACAAAAACACTATAGTAAATACTACAGTAATGTCTGCAAAAACACTATAGTAAATACTACAGTATACTACAATCTACAAAAACACTACAGTAAATACTACAGTATAGTACAGTCCGCAAAAACACTACAGTAAATACTACAGTATACTACAATCTACAAAAACACTATATTAATTACCCTAGTATATACTACAGTTTTCTTTTACTACAGTATTAATATTATAGTTAACAGTAAATACTACAGTAAATAGTACACTATTCACTGTAGTGTTCACTGTTCACTGTAGTTCGCAAAAACACTACAGTGAATACAACAGTAAAGTCCGCAAAAACATTTCAGTGAATACTATAGTATTTATACCATAGTATAATATAGTATTTTTTCATGTGGGAGTCGAAGTAGACACAGAGGAAATAACTAGTGTGCCCCTTTAAACACTCTGTGAAATTAATTAAAGGCTCTAAAACTATTCTGAAACCAAATTTGTAACGGTGAGACATTTCTATGGAAATAACATCATTGCATAATTTCGGTTAAAATTTTCCTCACTGACTTTAATGTAAAGAAAGGTAGATGACTACAATATGCAGTCTTATAATCCAATAACAACATTGCCTTCCAACAGAGTATGTAAAAAGGCAAACAGCATTATTGCCCCTCTTATTGAATCATCTATCCAGGATATGTTTTTGCTTGTGCCATTGTCGCTGTGTTAGAATTCTGCTCGTCTCATCCAATGGACAAGTATTGTAATCTAATTTCATGTTAATCTGCTGCATTTGTTCTAACGTCATGCCATTATTATCCTAACCTCGTTTCTGTTATTGTGTCTGCATCATGTCCTATCTAATCCTTTCCAGCATTCATTCATTTTATACCACAGTGTGCACACTTAACAATGCTTTATAAACAATTCAAAACTTTTCACTATAGATATCAAATCTGATTCATTTATTCATTAATTTGCTATTTCTACAAGTTCTAGAAGTTGCCCTTATTAACCACAGATCTAGGATCAAATCTTTGGCATTGCATGTGTAATGGGGGTCAGTGTGCTGCTAACAGCTTAGCTTCCTCCACTGTCTGACTGCCCCATACTGGGCTTGAACCAGTGATCCTCTGCTTCGCAACACACAACACCGCCCTCCTTAACAACGTTCCAACAGGTTGAGGCACCCAAAGGGTACCGATTGGATGGCTCCATCCATGATATTTCAAGCTAGCTGTGGAGTGAGCTTACGGCACATCCTTAACTCAGTTACACATGCTTGGATATTTTACATGGCCTAACCTCTGGGAGTCTAGGAGCGGTCTCTGCATGACAGACTTGACCAGGGCATCTGGCCGGACCGTCTTCATGGGGGAGGTCTTGGGGCTGGAGTCAGACTCTCCACTCTCCTCATCACCCATGGCTTTGACGTAACTGCTGCTCCTCATCCTCCGACAGGGGATCTCATCGTCCTTACCTCCCCCTGGGTAACCACTCCACTCATCCTGAGGTACCTGGGGGGGAGGGAGATAGAGAGAGGGTTAGAGAGAAGGGTTACTATATGCCATTTAGCCGATGGTTTTATCCAAAGGGACTTACAGTCATGCGTGCCAACTAAGCTACAGAGGACCACCGGGTTCAGGTGGGGTCTTTGGGTACTACTTTTTATGTGGTGTGAAGTGGCACTAAAGCTATGTAACAGAAGTAGTAAGATTGTAGAAGATACTGTAATGTAATTATAGTATGAGTACTACAGATACACAGGTTTACCTCAAAGTTTCTTTGGTCCCACTTGTGGTAGCATGTATTTACCTACAGTCGTGGTCAAAAGTTTTGAGAATGACACAAGTATTGGTCTTCACAAAGTTTGCTGCTTCAGTGTTTTTAGATATTTTTGTCAGATGTTACTATGGTATACTGAAGTATAATTACAAGCATTCCATGAGTGTCAAAGGCTTTTAATAAGTTTATGCAAAGAGTCAATATTTGCAGTGTTGACCCTTCTTTTTCAAGACCTCTGCAATCCGCCCTGGCATGCTGTCAATTAACTTCTGGGCCACATCCTAACTGATGGCAGCCCATTCTTGCATAATCAATGCTTGGAGTTTGTCAGAATTTGTGGGTTTTTGTTTGTCCACCCGCCTCTTGAGGATTGACCAAAAATGTTGATGGTTTGTTCCCCGAGCCACTTAGTTATTACTTTTGCTTATTGGCAAGGTGCTCCATCATGCTGGAAAAGGCATTGTTCGCCACCAAACTGTTCTTGGATGGTTGGAAGTTGCTCTCGGAAAATGTGTTGGTACCCTTCTTTATTCATGGCTGTGTTCTTAGGCAAAATTGTGAGTGAGCCCACTCCCTTGGCTGAGAAGTAACCCCAGACATGAATGGTCTCAGGATGCTTTACTGTTGGCATGACACAGGATTGATGGTAGTGCTCACCTTGTCTTCTCTGGACAAGCTTTTTTCCGGATGCCCCAAACAATCGGAAAGGGGATTCATCAGAGAAAATGACATTACCCCAGTCCTCAGCAGTCCAATCCCTGTACCTTTTGCAGAATATCAGTCTGTCCCTGATGTTTTTCTTGGAAAGAAGTGGCTTCCTCGCTGCCCATCTTGACACCAGGCCATCCTCCAAAAGTCTTCGCCTCACTGTGCGTGCAGATGCACTCACACCTACCTTCTGCCATTCCTGAGCAAGCACTGCACTGGTTGTGCCCCGGTCCCGCAGCTGAATCAACTTTAGGAGACGGTCCTGGCGCTTGCTGGACTTTCTTGGGTGCCCTGAAGCCTTTTTCACAACAATTGAACCTCTCTCCTTGAAGTTCTTGATGATCCGATAAATGGTTGATTTAGGTGCAATCTTACTAGCAGCAATATCCTTGCCTGTGAAGCCGTTTTTGTGCAAAGCAATGATGACAGCACGTGTTTCCTTGCAAGTAACCATGGTTAACAGAGGAAGAACAATGATTTTAAGCACCACCCTCCTTTTAAAGCTTCCAGTCTGTTATTCTAACTCAATCAGCATGACAGAGTGATCTCCAGCCTTGTCCTCGTCAACACTCTCACCTGAGTTAACGAGAGAATCACTGACATGATGTCAGCTGGTCCTTTTGTGGCAGGGCTGAAATGCAGTGGAAATGTTTTTGGGGGATTAAGTTCATTTTCATGGCAAAGAGGGATTTTGCAATTCATTACAATTCATCTGATCACTCTTCATAACATTCTGGAGTATATGCAAATTGCCATCATAAAAACTGAGGCAGCAGACTTTGTGAAAATTAATATTTGTGTCATTCTCAAAACTTTTGACCACGACTGTACATTGTAGTTTCTATAAGTACGTACAGTTTATCTTTAAACTGTGTATATTGCTACATAGACCTAAAAACAGTTAGCCATTAGCTGTTTGGTTTTGGTATGTCAGGAGAGTTGTTGTTTTCTCAAGGTTGCCTGTGTACTCACAGAGGCTATTGGCTCAGCCGTAGTGGTAAAGCAGACTGTCCTCGATCATGTTTATTGGTAAAATGAAGGTAGTGAGAGTGGGATCACAGAGGATTAAACTGAATAGGATATTCATCCACTGTCACATTTAACCACAGCTCAGGCAAAGATAGGTACAGTCAGTGATTAATCTGAGCCAGATCCTGCCGGAACAGGATCCGGCACCTCTCAGATTTTGACCTTGTTTGTTTCGGCACCTATTTGCCCGACTCCGGTACCTCACACGGCAGTATTGATAAAATCTGTTCACTGTTTGCACTGCATTTTTGTAAAAAAATGTTACAGCGATCAGAGTTAAAGCAAGTTGTCTCCTGGTTATTTCTCCGGCGTCACAGAAAAACCATTATGTAAAAGCTTGGTGATCCTTCTGTGCAATCATCCTAATCCTTCCACACTGATTTCTAACTTACTCTCTTATTTGTACATGTAGGTCATGGGGCGGGCCGGCGAGGTAAGTAACTGATCTTGAAACAGGTCTTGGCAGTGGTGGTCAGCTAGTGAAGAGGTCCCTACGTAATCACGTCACGTAGCCTAGGCTAGTCGTCTCCCTACTGAATTTGAAACTGAGGGAAAGCCAAATTAAAAATTAATAAGAAAAGGCAAAGTTTTTCAAGTCCAAAAATCCTGAAAAGTATGGTGAATCGAACCCGAAATGAGCCAGGGAACTGTCAGTGTCGGATGAGAGGAGTGAGAAGCAAACTACTCCTGATGGTGATGCCTTAGCTAGCAGCGCTGCTTATCCCGCCAGTTCAGCATCACCACCGGTACCTCCACTAGCTAGTAGGCCTACTAGTGAGTCAGACTCGGCGGGAGAGGCAGACGGGGAGTGGGCAGTGCATCCACCTACGAAGTGCCCGGAGCAGGTGCAATTTGGACGGAGGTTCAGTTCAAGACCAGGCAAACTTAGAACCCCTGGCTTGTCAAGCAAAATTCAAAACTGGGCTGTACAAAATGCAAAAAGGTAGGGAGTTTGGGCCCAGAAAAGACTGGAGGGATGAAACTAGCAAAAGAGTGGGTGGAATGCCTCCGATATAAAAAGCAACAAAGAGCCCTCAGAAAAAAGGTTTTTGAACATGCCCTAACCAAGGCCTATTTAGCGGCAGCAAGCATTGTAGACAAGGCTAAAAAGGACACCTTAACACAGGTTGTAGTTGAAGCTCAAAATAAAAACATAGACACTACGGCCAGAGTCTTCCGAACAGCTTACAAGGAGGCTAAACGTCACAGACCGCTCATGGTTTTGAGCAAGAAATTGACTGTCAGGAGTTAAATGGACTTGACATGGGGGGAATTCTCCATTCGAATGTTGCTTGCGCCAACATAAAGCAACTTATCAGCCTAATGCTTGATGAGGCTACTAGTTTGAATAAAAAGAGTTCCTTGATTGTATACATCAGACATCAGCTGGCAGATATGGACGTACCAGCAAGCATTTTTGTTGATCTTGTGAAACTGGAGGATTTATCTGCTGGGGGAATTGTCCGTAATCTGTTATCTGCATTAGAGGGTGTAAAGTTTACTGAGGACTTTCTCTCCAAAACCCTCATTGGAATTACATATGATGGTGCGTCTGTCATGCTGGGACGCAACAAGGCTCCAGGCCCTCTTCCCTAATATAACTGTTTGGCACTGCTCGGCACACAGGCTTGAGCTTGCAGTAGGCAATGTGATAAAAGAGATGGGAGCTATCAATAATTTAAAAATACTTATTGACAAGCTATATTCGCTTTATAGCGTATCCAACAACAAATGAATGGAGCTGAGGGAGTGCACATAGTGTTTAGACTCTTATATGTTGAGCCAGGGTGTGGATTTTCTATGTTTTGTTTTCTATGTTTTTGGTTCTAGTTCGTTTTGATGTATGTTGGCCAGGGTGGTTCCCAATCAGAGGCAGCTGTAGCTCGTTGTCTCTGATTGGGGACCATACTTAGGTAGCCTGTTTTCACTAGTTGTTTGTGGGATCTTGTTCTGTAAGGTTTTGTGTATAACCTAGGACTTCACGTATCGTTTCGTTTGTTGTTTTGGTTCGTGTGTGTACTGAATAAAGAATGTACGCTTATCACGCTGCGCCTTGGTCCGCATCTGTCGACGTTCATGACATTTAGACATTCAGCTGTGCAAAATCGGCAGGATCTTGGACACTAGATGGGTGGCATCCAGTTTTAGAACTGTAGAGTCTGTGTGGAAAAATTACCCGGCTCTTCACAAGCATTTCACCACAGTAGCGGAGGATGCCTCCCGCGACGATGTGACCCATCAGAGCTATAGTGGCCTTGCCATGCGCATATCCTCTCATGCGTTTGTTAACAATCTAGGCCTTATGTGTGATGCACTTCAAGTACTATCTGAATTGTCACTCGAGCTCCAAAAGAGAGACTGCACAATTATTACGGCACACAGGGCAGTCACCAGGGAAGCGAGGGTGTTCAGTGCAATGGCAGAGCAGCCAGGCCGACAACTCAGCCAGAGAGGGATTCAGGAGAACTCTTTCCAAGGCGTCAAACTGAATGGTGGAAGACCCAGCGACAGAGCCCTTAATCAGAGGGAGTTTTTCGAGAGCTTGGCGAGGAACATGGAGGCTAGAATGTTCTCTCATGGAGGACGGGCGGTGGACAATACAGGATACAGCCAGTTCATTGAGGAGCTGAAGGTGCTTTATGCGCAATACTGGCCGGAGGACGCAGGAGCACTGTATGGAGAAACAGAGATACAATCTCTCTGCCAGCGGTTTGGCATTGACAGTCCATGTATGGTCATACGGGCCTACAGGCAGTACAGGGACACTAATGGTAATGATAAAGGAGACATTCCAGATGGACTTAAAGAGCTGTTGATGGCGGTCAGCACCATCCCCATCTCCAGTGCAGAATGCGAGCGGGGATTTTCTCAAATGAATCTGATTTGCACTTCAACCCGCGCCTCTCTGCATACCTCCACCATATCAGGGCTACTCTTTCTGAACCTTGTTGGCCCACCCCTGAC